GGCGAGGCCGCCAAGACGCTCAAGAACATCACCCTCGAGACGGGCGGCAAGTCCCCGCTCCTCGTCTTCAACGACGCCGACCTCGAGCAGGCCGTAAAGTGGTCCCACATGGGCATCATGTCCAACCAGGGCCAGATCTGCACCGCCACCTCCCGCATCCTCGTCCAGGAGGACATCTACGAGGAGTTCATCCCCAAGTTCCTCGAGACCCTCAAGGCGACCAGCAAGGTCGGAAGCCAGTGGGACAAGGACACCTACCAGGGACCCCAGGTCTCCAAGGTCCAGTTCGAGCGCGTGCTCGAGTACATCGACATTGGCAAGAACGAGGGCGCCACCCTCGCCGCGGGCGGAGAACCCCTCAACATCGGCGGCAAGGGCAAGGGCTTCTTCGTCGCGCCCACCGTCTTCACCAACGTCACGACGTCGATGCGCGTATGGGGCGAGGAGATTTTCGGGCCCGTTGTGGTGATTGCGCGCTTCAAGACCGAGGAGGAGGCTATTGCGTTGGCGAATAACAGCCAGTACGGGCTCGGCGCCGCGGTTTTCACGCAGAATGTCGAGCGGGCGCATCGTGTTGCGTCGGAGATTGAGGCGGGCATGGTGTGGGTTAACAGCACCCAGGACAGCGACCCGCGCGTGCCGTTTGGCGGTGTCAAGCAGAGTGGTATTGGGAGGGAGTTGGGCGAGGCTGGGTTGGAGGCGTATAGTCAGATCAAGGCCGTCCACGTCAACATGGGCACGAGGCTATGAGGTGTTTCGACTAGGTTTTGTTAGGAAGAAGAGAATGACACAATGAACAACTTCATGATCATACTTTTGTATTCATCGATGACTGTACGCATCCTACGGACGCAAGATCAAATCGTACCGACCCGGCAGTAATGTGACCCTCTTCCCAGACGCATCCTCCACACCCGCGCCGCCCTCCCTTCTAATCTCAACCGCGCTCTCATGCCTCGGCAACACCAAAGTCCCCTTCGTACTCGTCGGCACAACAACCCTCATCCTCACATCCTCACCCTCGCGCTTGAACGTAACCTCGATCAACCCATACGGACACTCAAACGTCCCCTCTACAAAATCAAACTCGGACCTCAGCGGCGGCTTCACACTCCACGTCTTATACCCGTCCTCCTCGACCCGCACCCCCAGCACAGCCTCGTAAAACCACTCGTAAATCGTGCCCAGCATGTCGTGGCACTTACTCCTGCACGCATCCTGCCAAAACTCGTTGAGCGTCGTCTCCCCGCGCCGGAGGAAGCGCATGTACGAAGGGTGCTCCTCCTGCCGCGCCATCGCCATCACGATATCCGGGCGGTCGACGTCCGTGAAGGTATTCCAGAGCCACTTGAGCCCGATCTCGCCCGCGCGGATCCGACAGTCTGCCACGTCGTCTAGGAAGGCCTGCTGCACGTCCGCTACATGCTCCGTCGGAACGAGGCCGAATTGCAGCGCCATGGCCTGCGCGATCATCGTCCGGTCGTGGGTACCGGGTTCGTCGAGGGAGGTGTAGAATGCGTAAGGGTGTTCCGTCTTGTCGGTGACGAGGAGGTGGCGGTTATACGTCTCGTAGATGCGGTCAGCCCACGCGCACCATTTTTTCTCGTCGTCCGCGTAGCCGAGCTCCTTGGCCATCAACTCGACGTTGCGGAGACACTTGTAGTAGATCGCCGTCTCGATGTTGGCCTGGTGATTCCCAAACGCGATATCGCGGCCCCAATCACCCAACCCGTGCTCGATCAAACCCCCCTGACGCTCCTTTGTCCGGAGATACTCCATGTACCGTACACAAGGCTGATACAGCTTGCCAAAAGTATGCGTCGAGCCGTAGTACTTCTTCAGAATCTCGGGGATCAAGGCGACCGCCCCGCCCCAGGTAATCGTGTCGTGCAACGGACCACACATGTACCGAATCTCGGGCGCCATCGTCGGCACGAGCCCGTCGGCCTCCTGCGCGTCTGCGATGTCGTCCAGGATCTTGGAGTGCAGGGCCTCGATGTCGCGGATGTACTGCGTCGCCGGCGCGAGGAGGTGCGTGACTTCCAGCCAGCCGAATTTCTCGATTTGCGGGCAGTCGGTGTGGTAGCTGAACAAGTTGCTGACAAAGGACCAGTAGCACATGTTGATGAGGGCGTTCGCGTCCGGCTTGTCTGTCTTGAGGGTGCCCAGCCTCCGGGAGGCGGAGGAGATGTGCCTGCCGACCACAGAGTGGATGACGGGGAGACCTTCACCTGCCTGCAAGGAGACGCCTTCGATTTGGATGTACCGGGCGCTGGTGAAGCTGAAATCTGGCTCCCAGGTCTCGACGCCTCCTGTCCCGGCAAGCGTAATTTTGGAAAAGACTTTTGTTTCAAAGTCTTTGAAAAGGGGGTCCGGCATTAGCACGCGGCCGGTCTCGTCCACGCTCTCGGAGAACTTGACGACGACTTGTGCGCCGGCTGGGCCGCTGACTTGGACGCGAACCATGGTGGACATGTTCTGTCCCAGGTCAAACGTCACGACGCCCTTCTCCAACGTCTTCTTCGAAACCGGCTCGACCGTCTCGTGGAGCGTGACCGGCGGCTGGCTTTGATACCTCAATTTTCCCCTCGGCCCCGTCACGGGCGTAGAGGCAATCCACTCCCCATCATCGAAGCCAGGCTTATCCCACCCATCAGGATACGCCCGCAAATCCTTATCCTCTGATGCGTAAATATTCGCCAACGTGGTGGCGCTCTTCCTCGTCTTCCAATCCGGTCCCGAAATCACCGTCTCGCGACTCCCATCCTCATAAAACAGATGCAGCTCCGCAAAGAAGCACAACTCATTACCGTACCGCACGTAGGTATTATCCTCATACATGGGCCAAAAGAAGCGATCATCGCCGCCCTTATCACCGGCGTAGAACCCATTCCCCACGTGCGCGCCGACGATGTTGTCTCCCTGCGTCAGCGCCTCGCTGAGGTCGTAGGCGACGAACTGTACCGTGCGGTGGTAGTTTGTCCAGCCTGGATCGAGGACGTGCGTCGATGCTGGGGAGCCGTTGCAGGAGAGGTTGAAGTGGCCCAGACCGGAAGCGAAGGCGATGGCCCGGGAGGGTTTGCGGGGGAGGTGGAGGTGTTTGCGGAGGTAGAAGGGTTTGTCGCTGCTGTCGCCTATCCAGACTCCCTTCCAGCGGTTTGATTCGTCTTCGAACCAGGTGCGGAAGATGAGGCTGGTATGGGGCATCTGTTTTTCGTCCGTGTTAGAAGTCAGGAACGTGCTGTCATCATATTCTGGAACGACAATATGTACTGGACGGACATACGTAGGTTTGGTTCATGCTGTACGGCGGCAGCAGTCTGCTTGACCGCGGGTACGCCGTGAAGAACTCATTGACGCCGCTTGACGAAGCCTGTTCGTCCTGGTCCCAGACGGTCACTTTCCAGAAGTGGAATGACGCAGACTTGAAGCCGCCATCCGGCTTGCAGAGGATGTTCCTCTGGGCATTGCTTTCGACTTTGCCCGAGTCCCAGACGACTTCGGAGCTCGAACCGTCATCGAGTGCTGTTGCGTACAAAGCAACGACGATGCGATAGGCGCTTTGGGAAGCATGTTCGAGCTCAGAGTGAAGCACCCAGTAGAAGCGAATCTCATCAACGTCGATGCCCAGGGTTTCGTGAAAGGCATGGATGCCACAGCGTGTCACTTCCATTACGCTTGTCAAGGGAGTAAGGCTCCAGGGTGACCTCGCAGCTTCGGTCGAACAGAAAGTGAAAGCAGCCTTCTACGGATAGTAACCTAGACAAGTATTCGGTTCCCGGCAAGTCTTTAGAGAAGCGAGCTTCATGGGCACATGTAACTTGTGCAACCTCTATTCTGTTTCGGGCATGTTCCGCATGCTGTGGCCCCCATTCCAAAAGGATGTGGTCAGATAACTCGGGGTAGTTGAGTCAACAATGAACCGAATGACCGAAGTTCGGGGCGTTGTTCTCTCGAAAAGAGTGGCAACTCTGGAGCTGTGAAACAGACTCTTGTTGGATCCAGTATAGTCTGTAGAGCATCCGGTGGGCTGGTACGGGGTACCGTGGACGTCTTTACGCCGAGTCTTTTGGCCAAGGGAACAGGACCATGTGCCGGTGGAGACCCGGCCTTCGGTACTTGGATAGTGAGTATTGGCACCGAGATGTCGCCGGGGTGGGGTAGAGGCATTGCCGTCGAATCACAAGTCCTGATACGTTTGTGTTGGTGTCGATCTGATGCCCTCTCGCTCGGAATTACCGACTGTGAAACGGCTTTTTAGACCGGGTTTCCCGAACGTGCCACACATTTATTTGGGGTTAGTCCAGCAGAGATCTCTACCCATAGTCACCGACATGTCGCTGTGTCGCTGTCGACTGTATCCGTCTGCGACAGAAATTTTCATTGCCAGTGGTTTGTACTTTGAGCGACTTCATCGACTTCAATGGTCAACCTAGAAACTTAACATGAGGATTCTCTAGGAGGAACCCCCACCGTGCCGGCTCCGGACTAGGGTCGCCACTTACCGGGCCGCTTTGAGCCTCGAACATTCAACGGCCTCGTTCGAGTATGTGTATCCGCAGTAGTTAATCAGCGACCGCGGTGCAAAGCATGCCTAGTGGCTGCCCAAAAGAACCAACACTGAACACGCCACCAACCATCCTCGGTGATGTCGGGTTAAAGATGCAGCTTTGTCTGGGGTTTGCTGGGTTTGTGCGGAGGCCCCAGATTCCTAAAGACCACACATTCAGGGGGGATCGGCCAGGTTCAGCACCGTTCAGATACTGCCAAGACCCACTGGATGACACCTCGATCTCGTCGATTGGATGAACAGGGACACTCGCCGGTGGGAGTTGAATGCTGACAAGCCCGTTACTGGATGTTGGTCATATTGTTGACCTCCAGTTGTATTTTAACCTTAATATTTCTCCCGGGTTTCTGCCCTCAAGAACGACATCTGTTCTTGATTCTTCGTTCGTCTTTCAGTGGACAGCTGTGACTGTGAACGATATACGACAATCATGGGTCGCCTCACGACGGTGTTATCCGCCGTCTTCCTGGCCATCGGAGGTTTCCTCTTCGGCTATGACTCCGGTATCATCACCTCAACGATCGCTTTAGATTCGTTTGAAAAGTACTTCCGCCACCCATCAGATACCGTCGCCGGCGGCATTGTGTCAGCCTTCCAAGGCGGCGCCATCTTCGGCACCATCATCAACATGCTCTTCGCCAACAAGATCGGTCGGCGTAACACCATCTTTGTCGGATCCGTGATTTCGTGTCTCGGCTCGGCTCTGCAAGCCGGCGCCGTCAACATGGTCATGCTGATTATTGGCCGCTTCATCGGCGGTGCCGCCGTCGGCATGGTTACCTCGACGATTCCCATGTACGCCTCTGAGCTGTCGGAAGCAAAGTACCGCGGTATCTTGTCCGGTTTGCTACAGTGGATGTTGAGTTGGGGATTCTTGATCGCCCAGTGGCTTGGATATGGATGCTCCTTTGTCAAGGGCGACTTTTCTTGTAAGCCTCTTTTCCATTGTCCTAGTATCTACGTACCCACTCAGAGTCAGTGTAAGACGAATCGTATTGTAAACTGACAACGGGATAGGGCGTTTCCCTCTCGCCTTCCAGGCTGTCCCCGGTGTCATTCTCGTCACCGGCATCTACTTCCTCCAAGAGTCTCCCCGTTGGCTCATGGAGCGAGACCGACACGAAGATGCCCGTCGATCACTCGGCAAACTCCGAAGCGGCTTGGACGAGGAAACCATCGATCTCGAATTCCGTGAGATTCGCGACGTTATCTTGGCTGACCGCGCCCTCGGCAACATTTCGTGGAAGTCCATCATCACAAAGCCTTCGTGGCGCAAGCGTCTCTTGTTGGGCTGTGGTGTACAGGCCTTCGGACCTCTCTCAGGTAAGCATGCATCTGCACGCCAAGGATAGATGAGAAGCAAGTCAAAGTATAGGACTAATGCGGAATGCCAACAGGTATCAACGTGATCAACTACTACGGACCTCGAATCTACAAGATTCTCGGTATCGATACGCAAACCTCTCTGATGATCATCGGCATCAGCGGTGCTCTTTCGATCGTCTACTGCAGCATTGGCCTGTGGCTCCTCGACCGCGTCGGCAGAGTGAAGCCCCTGATCGTCTCCGCAGCCGGTCTCGCCGCCGCCCTCCTCGTCAACGCAGTGCAGGCCCAATACCTCAACGAGAACAACGCCAACCAGTTGCGCAGTATGGTAGCCATGAACTTCGTCTTCAGCATGTTCTACACCCCGCTGGGCATTATCAGCTGGGTATACCCTGCCGAAATCTTCCCCGTCGAGGTCAGAGCGCTCGGAAACGCCATCACCACCTTCACCAACTGGACCGTCAACCTCATCTTTGCCCAGATTTCCCCGGAGGCGTTGACGAATATTGGATTCCGCTACTTCTACGTCTTCTTCGTTTTCAACCTGATCGCCATGATTTGCTACATTTTCTTCTTCCCGGAGACCAAGGGTAGGACGCTTGAGCAGATGGATGAGCTGTTTGGGGACCAGCTGGTGCCCCATGCCATGCAGGACTCTGTTGGTGCTGCTGCTGCTGTCGCCAAGGATGAAAAGCTTGTGGAGCAACTTGATCACGTCTGAGCATGTCACCAACGACTATGCGAGCTTTGGGGTATTCGCACTTCGAGGGTCGCAATTCGATTGCATGGGCGTTGATAGGGGAGGGTTGGCCCACGAAAAACATACCAGACTGTCAGTTGCGTAGCTAGGACATGCAGTTTCTCGTATTAATAAGGGAATTCTCAGTGGCACATGCTATTGATCGCATCGCTATATGAACACATTGCAGACCTTGTTCGCGTGGCACAAGCGCCAAAGTGACACAGTATGGCATCAACCCCACATGGAAACATTTGCGTCCGTCTAGACCGAGTCATCCCAAATAATTGCATCTACCTAGCTTTATCATACGTAGGCCAACACCAAAGTGTTGGTAGCCTAGACCACATTGTTCGCCAATCTAGGCCTAGTGACATGTTGTGTCGATCTGGCTGACAGGATTCAGAAGTCCGTTTCCAGACCATGCCCGACTAGGCAAACAAACTGGTCCGGACATAAGTCAGCAGATGGAACTGTGAATGGTGAGAAACAATACCTATTTCGTCAAAGGAAGGAATAACATGGCTATAAAAGTTTTAGAGGTCGCCGAGCAGTCTTCATAGCTCGATTTCTTCCATTGGCACCTCAATTGCTGAATTTCACGTTTCAGCTGGTTCCGGCAATCTCAGTTTTGCAATCCCTCTGCACTAATATCACGATGGTCGGCTCTAAAGACCTCCCACCATCAACTCTCTCCTTTGGGCGCGTCTTCTACAACAATCAATTTTGTGCGAAGCCGCAATGGCCGGCCCCGGGGACCAGTCTTTCCGACAAAACCGCGATTATCACGGGCGGAAACACGGGCCTAGGCTATGAAGCCGCCCTTCAACTGCTAGATCTCGAGTTATCCCGCTTGATCCTAGCTGTGCGCTCACTTGAGCGAGGCGAAGAAGCCGCCGCGAAGCTTCGTCGCCGATACCCCACTGCAACTATCAGCGTGCAACTTCTCGACATGACGTCTTACCAGTCTGTTCAAGACTTCGTGCGCCGCATTGACACCGAGTTGGATCGCATCGACATCGCCCTTCTCAATGCCGGAGTGATACGGATGGACTTTACCAAGGTCCCTGGTACTGGCCACGAAGAGACGATCCAAGTCAACTACCTGTCAACGATGCTCCTCGCCATACTTCTTCTCCCCGTTCTGAAGGCTAAACGCCAGAAGAATGGCGACCCCGCGCGCCTTACAATCGTCAGCGCCGCTCTTACATTGGCAGCCACGTTTCCCAACAGAGATGCAGATCCTCTCCTCCCATCCTTTGACGATCCTAAGGTCTTTGCCATCCACGGCCGGGAGGCCTACAATACGTCGAAGCTACTCGCTCACATGTTTCTCTGGAAACTGGTCGACTATGTTTCGGCAGACGATGTCATTGTCAACCTTGCAGATCCGGCGTGGTGCAAAGGCACAAACCTAGCACGAGATGCACAGGGTATCATGAAGTTGGGAGTCGCGGTATTTGGGGCAACGACTGGACGAACGCCACGAGTAGGCGCCTCTTGCTTTGTTGATGCCATTGTCAACAAAGGCAAAGAGTCTCATGGTTGCTTCCTAATGAGCTGGAAGATCCATCCGTATGTTTCTCCCTATTGTGCTTTCCCTCATATCATTGCTGACAAACTTCAGGTTTGCTGCGTTTCTCTACACCCCGGAGGGTAGCGCTGTTATAGATCGTCTTTGGGAAGAGACACTCAACGAGCTAGACTTTGAGGGCGTTCGGTCAGTCTTGAAAGCGTTATAGGTCTGACTGAGTTTCTGAACTCTTCTTTTGGGAGCTTTTTCGCCTCGTATGAGTATGGCATCTTCCATAAAGTGCTTGAGTCGGTAACATGAGTGTAAGACGATGCGAGCCAGCCTGCTTACATGTCCATTGCCATTTCGCGGTCTAGACCCGGGTTTCTTTTGAGCAGTCTTTACCACATCTACCTTGAGCCTTCGCAGCAGAGTTCTATTGTCCGCACGCGCATCAGAAATGTAATACGCATCGCTAATAGAGCACTGAGACAGTTGAAGCTAAATCTGATTCGATTGCTGTACGTAAGGATTGAATTCTTCCAAGTCTCTATCTTACTAGTAGGTACCTCATGGATTGGAGCTTATCTCGGTTATGACCAAGATCACGGGATTTGAAGTGATTGCAGTCGCCGGCCATTGCTAACATGATTTAGAGTTTAGAGTGAAGTTATTGTAACTGTTCATCATGCCCACTTATTTTCTCCCGGAATGTATATTCCGCTCGGTAGTGGTGTTTAGTGCCATATGAGCCTGGATGACTTTTGTGGGGTGAGATTAGCCTGTTCAATGGAACAGCAAAAACAGTTTCCGACAGCTGGGTCACAAAGCCGATAATCGGATGTTGTTGAACAATTGACAAATCATGGAGGACGTTGATTCTCTTTCCATGCCAAGCAATAATAGGACAATTGCTCCCATTCCGAGGCGCGGGGTCTAAGCGAAGTAGGCGGGGAAAGGACTGGCCTGATAACATGCATGTCTTATCAGTGGAAACACCTTCGCGCCGTCATTTGGCAAACAAGTAGCTTCATGCAAGCTTTACATCTACTTTGATATCCTCTTGGGCATAGTCGCAGAGGATATCGAAATACGTGTACCATGCGGTATTTATATCCAGAGAGTGTCGCATTCCTTTCGCCATGGATACTACCAAGCTTCCTGGGTAACTCGTCGCAGAGCATCTCAGATTTCTACATGCTTGACATCCTTCCGATGGCAGCTCGAGCCCTCCATTTTGTTTGCCTCGCGGGCATTGCCACTGCCCTCGTTGGAAGGAGTCCCCTTACCTTGGTCCGCACCATTAATAGCTTAGATCAAGTCTTTCAACTCGGCAACAACAGCTACTTGGCAACGCCCGTCTCACCATTCGCTCTAGCAGCCGCCAATCCCGAGACGACCACTGCTCCGGCAACTCATATCGTCGGGAATACCCCTATCATCACTGGGCAGTATCTCCAAGAAACGATTGCTGGCTACCTCGCCGAAGATGATGTATTCTCGAAGGACTTCCTTGAGACAATCATCTTGAGCTCTAATTGCTCTTCAAGACTTGACGATGCTGCCACAGCCTTCGTGGCATCTATCGGGTCTCAAGTTCTCATGCTGCCAGCTTCTTCCCAACTTGAGTCGCCTATGCCGCCTCCCGGTCCGATATTTCTAGAGTCCGATGGCAAGACGATTACGCTCTCGAAGGTCTTCCGTCTCTACACTGACACCTACAGCGACTTTGTCCACGGAATCTACGAATCTAACGGAAGCTACGAGGTCCTTGGCTTGACCGATGCTGATTGGGGCTACCCCTTGATTCCCGTCCCATCCCGCCTCTATAGCGGAGCCGGCTCTGGGCCTCTGGCCGGGAAAAGAATTGGCGTCAAGGATATCTACGACATGAAGGGACTCAAGTCTACTCTAGGAAGCAAAGCATGGACGCAGATGACCACCGAAGCCAACACGACCGCTCCTTCTATCCAGCGCATCATTGACCTCGGCGGAACCGTGGTGGGGAAGCAGAAGACGTCACAATTCGCGTCTGCGGCTCACGCTTGGGAGTGGACCGACGTTTACTACCCTCAGAACCCCCGGGGTGACGGATACCTCAGTTGCTCGGCGTCGTCTGCTGGCGGTGGTTGCTCCATTGCCGCATACCAGTGGCTCGACTTTGCCATCGGATCGGACACTGGCCAGTCTATGCGCCAACCGGCAGCGTTCTCGGGTACGTATGGCAACCGCCCGTCGCAAGGCCTCATGGTTTTAGACGGAGTCATGCCTATTTCCTACGGTGCCGACACGGGCGGTGTGTTTGCACGTGATCCTCAAGACTGGGTGAGGTTCGCTAAGCTTTGGTATGATCCTTCGCTTCACCAAGATAGCAGCCTCAATGGGCTACCCGAGCTTGAGGTTCCGGATTCTCGTGCGTTTCCGAAGCGGATTCTCTATCCCACAGAGCACCTTCCGCTACAGAACCCCGCCGCTGAAGAAGTTCTGCGGAGCTTCTTGGCTCAGGTCAACAAGGTCATGAACTTGACGGTGTCAAAAGTCAACATTACGGAAACAGTTGAGGCCGTTACTGGTCGGGACCTTGACGAGGTCCTGGCTGATTTGGGTACCATCTGGACCTACACACAGCTCAAAGTTGTGGCAACACCTCTGATTGCTCACTACAGCCCCGATTTCCCTTCCCTGGATAGGCCATTCCGAACCTCTTGGCGGAATCTCACCCTTGACGTCAAAGGTCACACCGAAGCGCTTGACCGCAGACGCCTGGACTCCGACGCCTGGCATCGTGAGGTCTTGTTCAATACGACTGAAAGCTGCTCCGAGTCCATCATGATCTACGACATCGGCACGGGTGGGCTTCCCTCCTTCAGAGAGGCTGAGTTGAATGAGTCCCCCGGCGCTGCCTTGCCTGCCGATACTGGAACCCGAGGGGCTGCTTCTGCCCTTGCGTCTTACTTTGGAAGCGCAGACTTCACCATCCCAATTGGTCAGGTGCCTTACTACAGTAATATCACGTACCGAGAAGAAATGATGCCTGTGACCATCAACATGGTGGCCAGGAGGGGGTGCGACTTTGTCTTGTTCAACCTTGTCGAAGAGTTGACGAAGCTGGGAGTCTTGGGGCCTGTCACTACTGGTTCGCGAACTTTTGTATGATACAATCGTTGTTTAATTTCCACTATGGAACTAAACTGTGGTCCGTCCTGCCAATGCCTCGTCTTCCATTTTCATTCCCCAAAGACAACGCCCGCGAAACACAAAGAGTCATCTCGATTCATTCATCATCTTCTGCTTCAATGGTCTCAAGGGTCCAGCCCAGTTCAATGCCAATCATAGTTATCGGGGTAAGCACCAGGCAGATTCTGATGCGAACCCTCGGCGTAGGAATAGCCAATCATGGGCTGAAGATCAGATCCAGGCACTTCAACAAGTCCCAGAACAATTGAGGCCTGTCTCTTCTCCCAGCACGCCATCAAAGTCTTCTTCTCCTGCGTCTTCATCCACTCACACTTTTTGCGGCCCTCTTTGAACTTTTGCTTCTCGTGGTTGAGAAGCCAGGCCTCGGCATTCTTGGTCAAGGGAGTCTTAAGCGTCTTGACGCTCACAATGTCGTAGAGTTCGCTTGTGTGATCTTGGGTTGGGGGAAGTCCAGCTTCCATGCCAGTCTCGTGCGGGAGAATTGAGCTTGGCGACGGCATTTGCTTCGACGACTGGAATCCACAGAATGCCATCTCAGCTCCAATATCGACGCCCTATGAATTACATGTTAGCATGCGGACTTGGGCGAAATGGACAAGGTATTGTGAGTTACCTGTTCGGGTTCCTGGGCTGCGGGCCAGTCGAAGAAGGAAGGAACTGTTGGAGACGTCAAGTCGATTGGATCATGCTGGGTTGTGATCAGTGCGTTGGGAGCGAATGTCTGGCAGGATTCCATTAGCAAACCTTCGGGACAGACTTGTGAATCGTAGGACTTGCCTCTCTCATAAGTTCTGTGGTAGAATTGAAGCCAAGCATCGTGCTCGCCGTGGCGACACCGCGCATGGGGCTGAATTCATTTGCTTGCTCAAGACCAACCACTGCTGCCAATGGATGAGAAGAACGAGTCGGCTGTTGCTCGCTTAAGCCATGGTGAGGACACTGCGCCATGCCGCCCTGTGGAAGTTGCTGCTGTTGAAGCTGCTCTTGGTCGTCCTCACCCTGAGTCTCAGCCTGTTCTTTGCGAAGCTTGTATCGAGCCGATGACTCCCTTCTCTTCCTGCGACACGGCTCGCATTGGCTTCGCTCCTTTATCAGACCCATATTGGTCATGGAAGAGAATTCCAACTGCGGCTTAGACTTGTGGCACTTGGTACACAACTTCTGGCTTGAAGATGCTTCACCAACACCTGAGGCCGAGGGTGCGCCATTCTCGTTCAGAACAGGCGGTGTGGGTGGCAGAAGGAGTGATGCCGGCAAAGGAGGCAAAGCACTGTGGCCCGATGCAATCGGCGGAGCGAACAAAGGAGTCTCTGCTGTGGGAGCTGAGGAACCTGGCAATGTTGGAATCAGTCGAACGGGAACGCCGGGGTTAATGGCGGAGATGGGAGCTTTCTGAGATGAAGAGCTTCTTCGAGAGGAAGAGGGCTTTGAGGTCTTTCGTGAAAGCCGTCTCTGTGTGGGTGTCTGCGGTCTAGAAGGAACATCTAGGGCGTTGTTCTCGATACCAAGTACTTGATGAGGCAAGTGAGGGACTTGTGAACTCGAGGTTGCGCTCTGCGCCTGCGCAGGAGCACCGTTGGCGTTCGGCAGTTGAGTTGCGCTCATTCCGGGCAAGAAGAGAGGAATCGGATCTCTGACAGCGAAGTGAGGCTCCACCGTCGCTGAAGTTTGAGGAGGAGATCCGAAGAGCGACTCGTCTTCGTCGAAGTCCATGGCTTCGTGAATGCAGGAGGAAGGATTGGGGACTGAGATTCGTGGACTCACTGTCGTGTGTGTGAAGTGAAAGGATTAGTGGGAAAGGAAAGGTTGTAATATAAGGGCACGAACGAAGAAGAATGGGTTGAAGGAGAAGGTTGAGAAAATTTCCACAGGAAGAAAGGAGCGACCGTGAATTATCTAGAAAGGAAGTGAGGCAGAAGCCCTAGACAGAGGTGAAGTGAAAAGACCCGATTTCATCTGGAGTTGCTCGCTTAATCCAATACGTTAATCACGTCCACCTTGCTCCTTCCTTCAATTTTGAGGAATCCTCGGGTGTTCCAGCCACTCAGGGAATACGCGAGTATTCAGGTACGAATAGGTTCTAGAACAAAGACCTTGGTATCAAACCACTGCTTGATACAATTACATCGACTCTGTCAAAGACACGTGCCGATTCTCATTGTTGAATCGTGAGCTCCTTGTCTCAAGTCACAGCTCATATGAAGCCTTTGCTTGCTTCTATTTGGCAACAACTAGAAACAGTACAGCTGTGAAGTAAGTGGATTTAGAAGCCATGTGAAAGTATGAGTTGCGTGCCTCGGAGAGTCCGAGTATATGATCGAGGAAATCCGTATCCATATGGGCCAAGTAGAGACATTTATATTGTTTTGGGGATTCAGGTCAATAACGCCAGTCATTTGAGGAATAGAGCATATTAAAGGGGCGTTTTCAGTCGTAGCGGGCAGACCGATCGCACTATCTAACCTCTTGACTCTCAGTTCAAAATTGCCTTTCCGACTCCCACATGCACAATTCCTCATCAGAGGTGGGCAAGTGCGACTCGAAGACCAGGCATCAACTGACTAATATACAAGGTGCTGTACCAGAGCCTTTAGTAACGTCGTCTTGTCTCCTGTCGTAGATAGCCTGCTCTCAACACGTACCTGACTAGCAAGTAGCAAACTGCTAGTATCCTTTTCTCGTGAGTTTCCAGGAGCAATGAGACTAGGAAGTATACGGTCATAGCCATGTCAATCTTGCCAATGCGCTATTTTCTCTGATAGACAAAACAGTAGAGCTTATAGTAAGCGGTTGTTATACACATGAATATCTGTACATATACGACCTTTAGGAAGTCTGAATATTAAAGAAGCCAAGCCCTTTCCTCAGGTATTTGTCTTCCACTTGTTTCTCGCTTTGCGATAAGATGCTTTTCCGACATGATTACATGTTTGAGCTCAATTTACTCAGCAAGGTATCGGCCAAGGAAAGGATAGAGAATCGATCCTGCTCTGAAAACTATTCTCAAGCAAGTGTTCGGCAGAGTTGGTACCTCCATGTCCATCAAACTTGACGTGGCATTCAGAGTTGGCCAAATGTCTAATTTAAGTACGCTGCAGCTCTCAATCACAACCGAATTCAAGTCAAGTAAAAACACGCGGTTCCAGCGTTTAGCTGGCACATGTGATCAAGCAGGTTTAAATCCAGTCCGACAAGTTGATTCAGTGTCACCATTTTCAGGTTTCTATTGTATGGTCACAAGCTGATGGGATCTTCTCCGCAAGGGTGCATGTGGCAGTGGTGAACTCTGGCGGGCCAATCCGCAGGAATGCTGATGTTTGCGGAAAATCGCTGTCTAAAGCCCTCTCGATTTAACGATGATTCATACCACTTATCACCATTCGGTCCTTTCCGTGCACTATTCGAATGTTATGGTCACCGCTTCATGATGTCACCATTCCTTCACTGGCGCAGAAACGTCATTCTGGCTAACCACATGCTGTGCGCCAAAGATGACGCGCACGACCAGTCAAAGTGTATAAGATCGCACCCAAAGAACCTCACAATAGAGGACCATCATTCCCATCATTCACAACATCATGAACAGAATCGCCCTCAGACAAACCAAGCTTTTCGCTGCATCAGTACCCAGAGTCAGAGCCATGTCGTCTCAGAACCCCATCCACAACGCGGCCGAGGCCGCCGGCCAAAAGAAGGACACCAGCCCATCCAAGCCTAGCGTCATCTCCTCGGAGGGCGCCATTGGCAAGCAATTCAACCCTGATGGCAACATCGGCCAGATTGGTGAGTGTTGCAGCCTAAATCTGGCATGACCTTGGTTCTGACTTTATCCCATAGGCGAAGCCGTTGGTGGCCCTTTCTCGAAGGATGGTGTCATTGGAAGCCAGTTTGATGCGAGCAAGGGGGGCATTGCAGGGACAGTGGAAAAGGCCGTGGATGGTCCTCGAAACCCGGCGAAGAAATAGCTCAAAGGCATGGTCTATTGAAGGTCTTTCTCTCGGCGTTGAATGAAACATAATTATCTATCTTCAAGTTCTTCATTGGAACTTAGCCTGCTTGGTTCTCAGTTTCGCCTGCTTATATTGAAAGACATCCTACTGTCGCCAAGTACTGATGTTTACATGTAATATTTTGACGCTTCACTGACACTTTGCACTTCGCGGCAAGGTATGAGTACCGTTTTCCCGTTTTTCGTGATGGTGGTCGCCCGGCGAATGCAACTACCTGCACCTCACGCCGAAGGAGCGATACGGGCGCAATTTCAAGACATGCATTACTCCAAGCACGTCTCGCACATTCATGTCTCTGTTTTGTCGCAACCGAGTTATGGGATTCGACGAAAACCCAATACATGTCTCAAGTGCCACGTCATTTCAGGCGTAAGAGCCATTTATCTGTATGAAGGCTGGTCTCCCGGCTACCGAAGTTGAGGGGGCAATGGTCACCTGAACTTATAAGAACCTGCGATCTTCCATCAAACTTATCCGTCGTTTTTCACTCTTTCACCTTTCTCACAACTCCTTTACCACACCCTACTCCTACTCTTCGCAGCTCGTTGACCTTTAATCACTGCCGATAGTTATTGCCGTCTGCCATGGACACGATGCTATCCCAGCAGGACAAGTACAAGGTGGACGAAGCCATGCGCCTTATTGACCATCGATTCAACAACATCAATTGGCCCTGGGAAGCTCTTCAGGCTCCAGGCTCTGGGGTCAAATTAATTGGCGATCGTCGTGTCATCGACGGCAACAAGATTCTGGCTCCCTTGGGAGACAGCCTCATCAGGCTCTTCGCCGTGGAAGCGATGATCGACTCGAACATCGCAACGAAGAGTAAGTTCGGAGTTGATGTCAAGGTTGCATACAGTCTTGTCCCAAGAAACGTACTAATACGATTATGCTAGGCGATATCGACGCCCAATCCCAGCAAGCTAGAAACAATTCGCGACTAGTTGAGATCTTCGACAGCTTCGTCTTCAGGCCGTGTGTCAATGTGAACCCATCCCAGGGCTATGCTCTCGGTGCTCAAACGAAGATTGATACCATCAAGGCCATCATCGGAGCTGTGTACAAGGACCGCGGAGGTGGAAGTGAAGGGCTCAACGCTGCCAAGCGCGTGGCAACAAAACTGAACATTCTTTAAGACCGGCAATGTCAAAGCCTCCTCATCCTCTTGAGCTAACGATCAGTAGCCTATTTAGACCATGAGGAACCCTGGAAACACCGCATTGGGGCACTGGAGGCTCCAAACAGAGATCCCCTGGGAGCATTGCGCTTGGTATCTCTTGTCTTCGCAGCAGATCCAGCGAAGAACATCGAAGCAGACTGGGGTCAGCTTGGGTGTTGCATTCTTCTCTCAAGATCTGCTGCCAAGAGTACCGACCGCCGTACTCCTGGGGGATTCCGTGTGGAGCCCCTGGTGTTCCGATGCGGATGTTCTAGGCTTCCTCATGGCCAGGGCCTTATTGCGGAGTAAGCGGGTACCCCAGGTTGCTCACTCGCGTAGTCTGCGGTTATAGACCGTGATGAGTTCGACAGTATGTGCGATTGGAGGGACTCTTAGTCTAACTCACTTTTCAGTCGATTTGGTGATGGAGAAGATGGTTGTTCGACGCGGAAAGGGGTACGCATGGAAGAAGGAAACATACACGCAGGGATTGAAAGAAGGAAGAGCAACGGGTACAACGAGCTCTGGTTTGGATTACTATTTTGAAGGAGATGTTTCTGTTCGGGGCTATCGGTTCGATACACGTGGACTCCCCAATTTCTGGAATTTGCACTTTACACCACCCCCTCCCTCTACTCCTGAGCTTGAGGCAACACTCATTTGACGGCACCACGATCTCACCAACACTCAAGCTCTCAATACACCACTTCGATTCCATGTCTCGCTGTTCCAAATGTGAAATTTCGCCATGATGTTGCCGATTCAGCATCCGGGATGTCTTCAGATCAAATCTTCACCTGGCAAGTACATGTATCCAAGATTTGTAACCCTAGAGCGGTGATGCAGCCAAGTCAACCAACGATACTCGTATTGATTCTGCTTGTCAACCTTGCATCTGATACTTCAGCAAACTCTGAGTTAAGGTTGCACTACGTCAAGGTCGCACGTTAAACTGACCTCATCAGCCAAAACCTTGAGCATCAAACCTGATTCTGGAATCAGGAGAATCGCGAAACCGAGCTGTGAATGATGCTACAGCTGTATTGCGCGTATAGGCATTTTTAATAATGTAGAGACAATCAGGCATCCAACATCCAACACGCACAACATCTCACAACGAGACAACCCACATCAACTTCAGTTTCGCTGCGCAGGCTTCCACCAGAAAAGAAGCAGGATGATGTGAGACAAATGTACATGTACATCGCACTGCCCGAGGCGGAATAGGTGCCGATCAACAATACGCCTCCCAGGCACGCCCGAGCCTCCCGCGCCCCTACCGAAACCCAGGATTCGATTGGATTCTGGACAAGATACGGAGTAAAATAGCTTGCACAACGGCATCTTATCGCAGAAAGCAACGTCAAGTAATGGCCAGAGGCGCCTCAAGTCTGCCCTCCGTCCCCGATTACAAGACATGTCGGATCGAACAGTAGCAAATCTCTATCCTTGCCCAAATCTCACCCCAGTAACTCGCGGGGATGCGGGGCGAAAGCGGGTACAGGACGGGGGACCACACCGGATTCGGGACCGGTAGGGCTTGGTGGTCGATGGGTGTTGCACACCCCGCTGGAGGTACGTCGGCCGGATCCTTCCAGCCTGCATGCTATTGTCTTGGCCTCGCTCCTTGGTGAATTTTCCCCACCTCTGTCTACGACCACCTTGCACCGTACCGAGTAGCATTGCCATGGCCCATCTCACTCGCGTTACTTTAGATGTCAGAGTATGGGGTTCCCTAGTTAAGACAAAGCAAGTCACTCTCTGTGTCTAAGTACCTGGAGGGCAACATGTTCCCATGAGGTAACTCAGGAGCCAGGTGAATTCGATTCTATGCTGAGCCGAATAGCGGGAGCCAAGTACAGGATGCCAACACCGCGGCATCAACGGCACACAACGCTAGTACTATGGACTAGTCGACCAAATGTCTTGACATACGTCGCTCTCGGATCCTGCGCCATCAACTTGTAGTGCCATTACACTGTGCCTGTCTTGCCTGTCTCTCAATCCCTCTTTGCTAGGAAGCTGTGCCACCTCCAACATCTGATCTGCAAGAGCAAGAAGCCTTGCTCAATTCCAAGCATTGAACCCGTCACCTGCTCACCGTGCCCATTCACCAGCATACCCCAAAACCAAGCTTCCCCCATCTTCCTTTCCCGCCATCTTCGCCCCAAAATTCAATGTGCCTTGCCTAGAGACAAACCCAAAAAAGAAGCCTAAAAGAACAAATACCACATCCAATCCATCCGACTCGCTTCCTCGCCAAGAGCATCCACGGCACGCCTCGCCTTCGCCCGGTCTGACACCTCGCGGTGCGATGACGCACCATGATGGCGCAAGTTAAACTTGAATGCCTGCTTCAATGAGAGCCAAGATGGGCTGAGCCGGCTTAATTGTGTTCACTCGCAAGCAAGTTTGATCATGAGGTGCCGTTCGCTGCGTCGGGCGAGAGTATATGAGGTCTGGGGCATCTCCGATAGTTCGCCGGAGAAAGACGAGGCCCTTGCCCAAGTACCGCTCAAAAGACCTTTAATTAGATTCAATTGACAGAATCTCCCTCCTGGCAATCGTTGTTATTGTGAAGTACGCGGTCTCACGATGCAGCTGACCCTCCCTCTCCTGACGCTCCTCGCCGGGGTTTCGGCCGCACCAATTAAGGGCCTCGACCGCGCAACGATCCAAGATGAATACGACTTCATCATAGCAGGAGGTAACGCACGCTCACTTTTCACAAACTCACAGTATTTCAGGCGGCTAACTCACTCTTCTCCTTCTCAAAGGCGGTACTGCCGGCCTCGTCCTCGCAAATCGCCTCTCCGAGTCCGGCAAACAGCGGGTCCTCGTCCTTGAAGCGGGGCCGAACCCCGAGGTCGTTTCGGCCTACAAGCCGCCCGGCGGTAACCAGTTTCTCGGCGGTACCGCCATCGACTGGTCCTTCTACACCACCCCGCAGGAACACCTCGACGGCCGCATCCTTCGCTACCACCGCGGTCGGTGCCTCGGCGGCAGCAGCGTAACCAATGGCTTCTACTACGGTCGTGGCAGCTCGTCCGTCTACGATGATTGGGTTAAAGTGGGGAACCCGGGTTGGGGATGGGACGAAGTCTATCCTCTGTTCGTTAAGGTAAATCACACTTGTTCAGTCTAGGGTGTTTCTCACGGTTCGCTGACACGATGATAGGGCACGCACTTCAATCCTCCAACGGACCACGAAGTCCGAGGCTTCGACGTCTCCTACAAAACTCACGACCCCTCCGCCTACGCCGACGGTCCCCTCCAGCTCGGATTCCAGGGCTACGTCCCGCCCTCGGGCGTAGGCTTCATAGAGGCCGCTTCCGAGGCCCTGCAGATCCCCATCGTCGAGGACCACAACACGGGCAACAGCACCGGCGTGAAGCAGGGTACAGGCCACCTCGACGCCGGGTTCATGCGCAGCTCCAGCTACGATAGTTATCTGAAGCAGGCCGAGGGCCGGAAGAACCTTGATGTTCTGCACTTTGCCCCCGTGTGGAAGATTAACTTCGACCAGGCGGAAGAGGGGAAGAAGCCAAAAGCCGTGGGTGTCGCTTTCATGGATCATCCTACGGGTATTGTACATGAGGTTAGAGCGAAGAAGGAAGTTATCGTCAGCGCGGGGGCGTTCAACTCGCCTCAACTCCTCATGGTTTCTGTGAGTTCCTCTCCAACCTTACGGATGTGAAATGATAAACGGCAGATCATGTGCTAACCTCGTCCCCTTAAGGGAGTCGGTCCATCCTCCCAGCTCAACGAATTCGGCATCGAACCCGTCCACATCAACGAGAACATCGGCCAGCAGTATGTCCCTTTCTTTCTTTTCCTCCTCTCACACCACAACTAACATCATCCCCTTCCCAAGCCTAAACGACCACTCCGTCTTCAGCATAATGGCCCTCTCGACCCCCGAGTTCTCAACAACAGACATGGCAGCAACCTACCAATCCCTCCGCGCCGCCCAAGACGAGTTCTACACCAACGCCACGGGTGAGTACACGGCCCCCTCGGGCATCACGAACGCCTTCCAGAAGCTCTCGGTCGACGAGCTGCAGGCCATTGGCGCGGGCGACGTCGTCACCGCGGGGCTGGCGAACCAGTCGCACATCGAGTACCTCTTCGAGAGCGTCTTTTACCCGAGCGGGCCGACGCCGTATTACACGCCCCGCGGCAACGAAACGTACATTTCCCTCACGGCGTCGAGTATGGTGGCGCTTTCGAGGGGAAATGTTACGCTGAGGTCGAATTCTATGGCTGAGACGCCGAGGATCGATCCTAATGTGAGTCCGCTTTTGTTTACCTCCCACGCTGCTCCTATTCATCTCGGAGGACTTGCTCACTTTTCTTTCCATGTTTCCCCTCTAACGAACGTCAACAAGAAACGGGGTAAGCTGACTTATTGTTACACAGTACTACGCCCACCCAGCCGACCGCAAAATCGCCCTCGCCTCCTTCAGATACCTCCGCAAGATCCTCGCCCACCCGCGCATGTCAGAATACACCGTGGGCCCATCCCACGGCGAAGTCTCCCCCGGCGCCGGCGTCTCGGAAGACGACGAGGACACCGTGCTGGCCTACGTCCGCGCCAACACCATCCCTAATTGGCACGCCTCCGGCACGAACCAGATGCTTCCCGAAGACAAGGGCGGCGTCGTAGACCCGCGGCTGAGGGTGTACGGCGTGGACGGGCTGCGAGTTGTAGATTGTAGTATCATTCCCATCTTGCCTGATGTTAATATCGTGGGATCGGTGTATATGATTGGGGAGAAAGGGGCGGAGATGATCCGGGAGGATTGGGGAGACTTGTGATTGTGGTCTTGGATGAGTGGTGTCTAACGATGGTGTGATTAGTTTCGATAGGCTCAGTTCTAGATGCGAAGTAGCGGTTGATGTTGTCTAATGCGGTAATGAGCACATCTTGCTTTCAGTTGTCGTCCACGGTCATTCCTCTGCTCAACCAGATAGATAACTTCACATCTTGGCAACGGAGTTCCATTACCCTCCGGAGCCGAAGTAATGGCCGTCACCAACCGGCCGTCGGCTCTTACACAAGACTCCTACCTACTAGGGACTAATATCGCGTCATGGCAAGCAAAGGACCCCAGCATACTCCATTCTCGCCCAGACTTGCCATCTCAACTTTTCTCAATCTTCTCCAGAGACCAGAGACAACATGATACACTGATCCGACGACAAGAAAGACACAAGCTGGGGGGTTCTGCTTGCCAGCCAGTCATCAAGGCAACATGAAGTCAAACAGCATGGCAAGGCAAGCTACCAACAACGCCCGTCACATAAAACGCGGCACTCCACCTCCAGTCGGAAAATCCGAGCCAGGAGTCAAACGGCCCCAAAATTGAGAGAGAGCCTCCAGAGTTCAGACTCCAGAGCCCGCAGAGGCCTCCGACTATCTGCTCTACCAAGCAACCCCTCACAAGCCAAGGGTACATCAAAGACAAGGGTATCAAGACCAATAGCCCCCAAGAGAACGAACCCGACAGATCCAGACACGAGATGACAGTGATCTCCCAACCATACTATTCGTCCATATCCTCGACGGCAGGTGGGGATCCATCGGAAGGTGACCATCTCGTTGGACGGTTCGGCATGTCCTTTCCAGACTGTCGAGAACTTGTCTAGCAAAAGACCTGTACCGAGCCGAAGCCAAGCCGTTTCGAAAGACGAGACGGTGACAGGCAGGCGGTCGGCTGAACAGATTCGGGGACGTGCTCACGGAGAACCCATGGGTGGTGGGAGAGCGAGTACACGGCATAGATGCACGGGGTGAGCAGATTCTTGAGAAACGCACGCGACGTTTCGTGCCTCATCTTGTATGGCGGGCCCATAATCTTACCACCGTCGCCCATGGGTCCAGAGGGAGAAGAGCAGACACCTCGCGATCTCAATGAGGGAGGGAAACATTCATTCACATGGAAGAAACAAATCAATGGAGATCAAGTTAGAGAATTCTTTTGTATTCTTCAGATCGAGTTGCGGGAGCGCCCAATCTATCTAGTACACGATGGCCATGGCCAGCCGTAAATTCCACCTCTTACTCGCCAATGTGAACAATCATCAATCATGCCGAACCAGCTTGGTTCCTATAGAATTCTTTTCGTCCGCCGCAACACTCTTAAAATAAAAATAAGAAACTAGATGCCGTCCCGGTTCGGGTGTAGTCGATTCCCAGTCAATCCCAACGCCATGTCCCAGATATCAAGCTAGTATGCACAGGAAATGTTGTAGCGAACTAAATGCCCATAATAAGGTGCTAAAAGAAAGTGTAGTAGAGAATGTGGTGTTTAGAGGAAGAGCGACTCCAATCTGGCGAGGACTGGTTGAAGCGCGGCATCGATGCGTTGCACCTTGGCCATGGCCACACATGCGTTCTTCTCATCTTCTGATGCATCGACAAGCTCGTAGCGGGCAAGAACCTTCTCAGCTTCGACACCTCCGAAGATCTCGGGTTGTGAGAGGGCTTCGGTGTCAAGTTCGACAGGGGATGCGGTAGCAGGGGCAGGAGCAGAGTGGTACAGAGCAAACTCAGGGTCGTTCTCGAACTCGTCATCGAAGACCTCCTCGGTCGCCGGAGCCTGGGACTGAACCTCGGGCGCCAGGACCTTGGGAGCCTCAATAGTGGGGAGCTCGATCTTCTCGTCATCAGACTCGAACTGCTCGCCGACAAAGTTTGAAGACTTTCCGGAGAGAACGTTGGTGTCAATGGTGACGGGAACGTCGGGGGTCTCGAGAACAGCAAAGACCTGGGGCTGGAAGTTGTAGGCATCATTGTCAATGTTCAGCATGGAGAAGTCCATGTTCTGCTCAGGGAGCATGGCCATGCCGATCTGCTGCTGCTGGGTCTGGTTGGCGTAGGGGTTGATGTCCTTGGGAATCTGGCGCTGCTCGGCTTGTCTCTCGACCTTGACGGCGGGAGCTTGCTGCTGCTGAGGGACGGGCTGAGGGTTGGTGCTGAGGTGGTCAAGGAAGTTGGAGAATGAGGGAGAAGCCAGGAGCATGCGAGTGAGATCCTGCAGGCGCTTGTTCTCGTCCTGGAGAGCACGGTTGTGCTGGCGAAGTTCGCCGTTCTCGGAAACCTTGTTGGCAATCTCGGCCTCGAGCTGAGTGATGTATTCTGTGATGGGTTAGCGAGTGAATCTTGTAGCATTGTGGTAGTGAAACTTACCCTTTCTGCGGGAACGGAAGGCGCGGGCGGAAACCTTGTTGCGGAGTTGGCGACGCTCCTTGCTGCTGAGCTTCTTGCCCTCCTCGCTAGCGAGAAGTCTCTCATCCTCGTCCATATCCTCCTCGTCCTTCTTGCATCTAGGCAGATTCATGAGAGGAGTGGGGCTGTCGCCCTCTTGAGCGGGCTTAGCACGCATGGAATTGAGGAGCTGGGTGATCTTCTGCTCAACAATGGGGTCGGTAGGCTGCTGGCTCTTGGTGCGCTGCTTCTGGCCCATCTGCTGACGCTGCTGCTGCTGCTGGATGATTTGCTGCTGTTGTCTTTGCTGGGCCTGGGCCTTGGCAAGAGCAGCTTGGGAGTGCATGCCGGGCCAGAGGCGGCCAACGTTGCTTTGCTGGGAGGGGACCACGGGAGACTCCTGTCCGCCGATGGCAGTGGGGTTGACGGTGGTGTTAGGGAAGAAGTACTGGGAGTCCGGAGGGGAGTCAAACTCCATATCCATATCCAAGCCGGTAGAGTTTTGGGAGGGCGATGTGTTGAAGTCAAACATGTCGTTCTCCGGGCTCAAGCCATTGCCCAAGTAGTCCATTCCATAACCGCTGTTGTAGCCGCTGATGTGAGAGTTGGCCTCGTTCACGGCCAGGGTGCTGGCGAGGGCACCGGGAACGATGCCAGTCTGCTGCTTGTAGAGATCATACTGGTGGCTGGGGCCAGTAAGGGGTTGTGATGCGGACGGCATCGTCGGGGTCGCGACAGTGCTGACTGATGGGCGAGTGAAGGTGTTCTTCGCGGTGGCCGCAGGAGAGAGCGAGGGAGACTGATAAGACATATTGTCGTACTCGCTGAAGTCGAGGAGGGCGTCGATGTTATCGACGTTCTGATTCGAGGTCGTCATTGCCGTCGAAGGAGGGTTCGATCCCTTGGGTGTCGAGATAGATGGGTTTTGGTGGATTCGGGTTCGCACCAGTCTGTGGCGAACCTTTGTAGTGATTGTTAGGCCCCGTACGCGACGACGAGGCAGTGATCGATGTATAGTATTCGATTCGGTGAATGAGGCTCGTGACGATAGATGGCAGTGCCTCAGGTGAGTGCTTCGTTTGGTGTTTTGGTTGAAGTTGAGAAGAAAGAGGGTTCGAGAGGTGGGAGAGAGAAAGAGGAAAAGAGGGCAAGAAGAATGTAGAGATAGGCGAGTAGTTTAGGGGGGTCTGGGCAGTGGATGTATGGGAAGCGTAACAAGAGGGACTGAGCACGGGGACTCCGTTTCTTGAATGATTTGGGTGCCTGGTCCTCGGAGCAGCAGGGGGGGAAGGCGGGCCAAGCGGATTCTGGGCGGGCTGAGCAGGGGGGTGGGCTTTGGGGGGGAGTTGAGGAAGGAAGGGACCAGGAGTCCCAGGACGGACGAGCAAGAGCGAGGGGAAGGTACTTTGGTACTATGGTACTTTGGGAAGGGAGTGGAAAGTCGGGATTGGGGAGAGGGAAGGAGGGAAGGGGAGAGAGCACTGAGCAGAAAGACCAGAAAGCGCAAGAGGGAAGACGGAGGGAAAGAGAGAGACGACCGGGGGCGCTGATGGGAGGGAAAGAGGGACGCGTAAGCCGATGGACGACGTGTCCTGATTTGGATTAGCGCGGGGAGATGAGAGAGACTGGGCCGGGCGTCCTTGGCTGACGGGCTGCACCTTCTCGTCGGGTGGGAAGGCAGGCAGTGGTGTTCCTTCCCTCTCGCTTTTTCTCACTCGTCCGTTGCTTCCCTTCCCCTACTGCGTACTGCGTCCAGCGAATATTCGTACCAGCAAATGCAGGCAGGCAGAGGAAGGAGCATTGGATCAGAACTAAGGTAGACCAGTGAACGGCAGGCAGGTACAATCGTATTCGATGGTGCCCGGGTGGGAAAGCACGAATTCACAAAATGTCAGGTACCTTCTTGCAGCGATGCACACTTACAATGTACACGTCTGCGGCCTGAGGATGACGACGCCAACTGCCCTTTTCGGTTCAGTCGTCGTCGAGTACTCGACCATTCGCTCGCAGTGATTCGCTCCGGGTGGTCCCCATTTCCTTCATTTTCTGCGCCTTTTGGCTTCCAGGTTCTTTTGGTGAACCCCCGGAGCGCTGTGGAATTCAACGTGGATTCGCAAGCTCGTCACTCGCCAGAACAGCGACCGCTTGTTTTGATATTGAACTCGACCACTCGCTCTGCCGCCTGTCGCCTGCCGCCCAACCACAAGCAATGGCGCGATGTCGCCGTTTCGAAATGTTGCTGACGACGACTCGACGACGCACGCTTATTGAGAGAACTTTCTTGACTTTTTTTTTCTCCGATCCCTCGTCTTTGCCTACGCTACCGACAGAGACTAGGCCTGTTTACCCGCCCATTTTACCATCAATTCCCGCTCGTTGATGTTGGTTACGGCTCTACAATATCGTCGTCGATGATGAATCCAATGTCAATCCCCTCCCTCCCATTGTCGTGGCCTCTCTAATTCTTCCGATAAGACGGAGCAGAATCTAGCCGACATACAATAACGAAGTCGCAAACTCGAGGTTGGTGAGATGACAAGATGACGAGGCCGCGTCTTGTTCGGGCGCGAGACCAAATCCGAACCGAGCGAATCGCTGCAAATAATTCAAACCAAATTCCACAGGCGCCTCGCCTGGCGCTATGCTGTGCTGCGTGTGTTGCTGAGTGCTGACCCGAGCCGACCAATTCACTGCCCGACGGAGACGGGCGGCGGGAAGTTTTGGTTGTGCGGCGGCGGCGGCGCACCCTCCCTGTTCGCTTTCGCTTGCGAGGTCGATGACAGGTATCGAGTACTCAATGCCACGCCCAGGATATCCGCAGTCGCGTGTACCGATACGAAGAGTGCCGCCATCCCGGGTGTGGCTGTTCCAGTTGGCGCTCTGCCTCTTTTTTGCTTTCGGCGTGGGTTGATCGTCCGTCAATGCTGCTCTGAGCTCTTACTCTTCCTACCACCAACAAATCAAAGGCCTTCGTTTGGTTCGTTCAAAAAGAAGGTTGTTTATGCTCAGCCTCAATAACTGAACTCATGGTCTTCCATTCGATTCAACTCGTTCCAACGACCTGACCCGGCTGCTTACGATGGGCTTGGAATCCAGCAGTATGCAAATACCGACCACCTGTCCATCTCTAACCGTATCAACTTCCCATGCTTCTCAGCGTCGCCGCTCAGAACAGTACAGGCCCCCATATCGAAGCAATCCAGACACCCCTTGACACAGCATTCCCACTTGCGGCAACCTTTTTCAGCATCCACGCCTCCCCTTAGTTGCCATTCTTTGAAGCAGTAGGAGCAGACTGGTCTCGGCGACTAGAAACACGGCGCGGCATAGACTTTCACTTGCAAGTTGCGCCTACGGTACTCGTCCGGGCCACTGCCCACTTCACGAAAAGGTCCCTCCGAAAAGGCTCACTGGTCTCCGTCCGAGCTTCAAGGAGGTGGTCAAGGAGGTGGTGGAAGGGAGTCTACGGCGTTTGGCCATGCGCTGACATCAGGCCGTCCCATTCTCGCGGCTCCAAATTCTGTTCAGCTCGCCCCCGAAGCGGAAGTTGTGCCGTCGTCCGTTATTCACGGCATTAACATCTGGAAAAGAGTTTTCGTCCAGGGAGCCAGAGCCAGAGCCAGAGCCAGAGCCAGACCCGACGGCAACTTCAGGCGTCTCGTTCGCTCCCGACATTCCGCACTGAACCGGGCCCTCAATCTGGTCGGTGGTTAGATCCCATTCAGGGGATCGCCCCGTTCGTTCTGGGAATGCCGCCCATGATCATTCAATCCTGTGGGACGCTTTTGTGATTTCCGTTCCCTGACCCTACCGCGATAATTCATGCACTGCCACCACGGCCGTTATCACTATCGAAATCACCAAATCATCCACCGCCAACATTTGATTCGCTCATCTGCTTTTCGTATGGGCTGTGCCGTTGACCACCCCTATGAGCGAGCTTAGTGGAAAACACTCGCGACACGGCGTGGCTTAGATGAGCTTCTATTCGTAGTAGAGCTGCTTATCCGTCTGCAACAGTCGCTGTTTACCCAGCCCTGTCGGGCGTTGGACCGCGGCGAAGGCCCTGGATGCTGGCAATAAACAACAAGCCCTCAGCACCACAGCGGGAACAATTCTAGCTAATTACGGAGTAGACTTTGGCTTAACGGCGGTCACTGCAGCATCGCACATCTTGCATCACAAGTTTTTGTCGACTCCCCTGAGCCACAAGTCAGCAGGCGAACGTCGACCCGCGGGCCCTCCCAATAAGGTCGACACACGATGGAAATTGGGCTTGTTACGGCCCCCAGACTCAAGGCGAATCTGATGTTCCTCGCCATCTCGCCTACCCTTGATACGCGCAATCTGGACCGCAAACCGCCCGTCCACTTTTTGTCACTTTTGGGCTCTTGCTCAAGAAGGGTTCGCAGACGTCTCAGTCTCCATTTCAACTTTTGACAATCTCCAGAGTTCAGACGACTGTCAGCCCTTTCGCACCGCGAGAATGAGCCGAATATCGAACGCTGGTGCCGTGATGAATGAGAATCCGACCAAGACAGACCTGAAGACAGTACTTCCAACACTAGGTACGGTAGAACCCCCCGGCGCCGTTTCGGCATTGCTGTAACAGTCTTCCTAGCTAGTACTATGGGCACCGTCTCGGCTTCTGGCACCTCGCTCTGGCCCCACCGGTCCCGAAGGTCCTCCCACATTCCCGATGTGCCGACTTTCTCGAGTCTCGCCGCCTCGCACACGCCGCAGTGGGCTAATGTCAGTTAAAGTCATCAGCAAAAGACTCGACCGCAACCATTCAGCAGCCGTCCATCAGCCCATCAATGGGTGTGGGCTTACATAATGAGCTAGACCTTGCACTAGCTGGGCTGCTTAGTGGTTCACAAGTATTCTTATGCCGAGAATCAGGGTGTCCCGCTGCCAGACCACGCCCCGGCCAAGCGCGAACCATGACGTTGTGTAAACAAAAATAGAAAATATGTACGCTTTGTTTCACCTGCGGCACCTTCACAACCACGACAACCCACAAAGTCCCGGGAGCGAAATCCAGAACGCCTTGTCAACTGACAACGGGTTGCTTCCAAGAGCCAACCAGGTACCACCGTAAACTTCATGCTCCATTCCCGCGGCTGGTTCCTACTGGCCAGCTCGACGGCCCCAAATACCGGCAAGGCTCTTTTTCCCTTTTGGTGTGGGAGAACGCCTTCTGACGGACTATAACGGACAATAGGGGCTTCGGCATCAAGAACCGCAACATTCGATGATTTGGACTACCAACCAGACATTGCCCTTGACCTCAAACTCGAAAGAGCCGCTTGAGGGGGGCCCTGCCATCCCATGTTTCGATGCATAGTACACTAGACACCCCGTACCGCACCATCAATCAACCAACCCCTCAGATTCTCGCGGGAATGGCGTCGGTTTGATCGCCCACATCGGCGCATCACCAGGAGTCTGGAGAAGATCCAGGGAGGTGTATTCGTACATAGCAGTGACACATGCGGGCCACGGCGAATGACAGGCCGACAGACTTCAGAACGGTGGCGGCCCCTTCGACCTCGGGGTTCTAGAACGTCGATTCTACATTCCTTTGCCCCCTACACTTTTCCCCCCTCATCGCGAAGAGCTGAACTCTAGGGTCCGATCATCCCGAATCTTATCAATTATGGTATATCCACCTTGCAGTTCGGAGCAAAAGCCTGTTCGATGAAAGGCTTGTTTCTGCCCATTGAAGATGTTCTCTCTCAGGTCATTTCGTTGAATGAGCCTCCACCAAGAACTCTCTTCGAGGGGTTCACTCTGGAATCGTGTTCTCAAACAGCGCCGGCCAATACACCCTCATACCTAGGTACTTACGTCCTCCCACATTCCACGACATGTTGTTTGGAAAACCATCTCCACAATGGTAATTAACTTGTCCAAGCCGAAGACAAAGTTTGAACGATAAGGTAAGCAAAAGCGGAGGTGGTCAGTCCACACTTGTAGGCACGGTAGCAGTACGGATGCGTTCCGCCATCACGTCGATTCATGTGCTTCTTGTCCGGATATCATCCGCACAATGAATCGCACATATCCGTGTCAAAAAGAGAGGAAAGAATGTCCCGCAGACAGGTGAGTGCAAGGGTGTGGCTGAGCCTCTGTCTCCACCATGTGCCGTGCCGGGCAAAAAAAGGCCCCCCTGTCCAGTAAACAACCTTCACGACTCGAGGTTGGCCCGAATCTGGCAAGATGCTCCGTTCTATTCGGGCCTAGCGTTGGGGAGACCAAGCATTTTTTGACAGTTATGGATGGGCGCCCCCCCTTCTTCCCGTGCGGCCTGCGGCGCGGGTGCATGAGCCACCGCGAAAATAACGAGATTGTTGAACTGTGAGCAGGCAATCTTCCAAGGTAGTATCGAAATTTGAAGCCTTATCATGAGAGTGGGCAGGGCCATGGCCTCGAGGTGAGCAGAGAGTCAGGAACTGCATGGTAACGGTCACCGAAATTTTGACCGATGTCTCTCAAATAGTCAGCTAGTCAGCAAGGTGCTTCTTTGCTTGCTGAATTCAATATCCGACGAGCAGAATTCCGTCTCGCCTATCTGATGTCGTGCTTTTGAGCGAACAGGGAGCAAATAAGTTTAGGGGCATTGGGCTTTCCGAGGAACTCGGGTTATGACTGGGTGGCCTAGATGACGGATCTCAAGATGCTGATTGAGAATGGTGGCACTGACGTGTGGTTCCATCTTGATATCCTTGGAGAAGGTCGCCGGTGTGCCCTGTGTGCCTGAATTACTCAACTCTGATCATTGCGCCAATCCCGATACCTTTTCGCCACAAAAATGAACATCACAGATGCCACAGTGACCAGGAAAGTTTGTTGGCAGGTCATTATTAGAAACAAAGTCGTCTACCTATCAGAATCGAGTTTCCCCTGTAGATCCAAGTTCAAGTAACCGTCAACAACAGGTTTTTTGTGGTGTCTGAGTTGCAACGGTGGACCAATGCGCGACAAGCCACAGGTCATAGTGACGATTTGGTGACTTACACAGCCACACCACCCCTCCCTTGTGGCGCTCGGAACTACACGCGCCACATGGAGTGTCAAGCCACACACGTGATCATTTTCGGCAACTTCAGGGTCGGTTCCCTCTTTCTTCCTTGTGGCATATGTCACTGGCTTCGGTGGACGAGCGGAAGGGAATGCTCGACCCTGAGGGCTTGTTATTTAGATTCTTTTCAAGTCTCTGAGCTCTTCCATGATGCTGAAAGCTTCACCATCCGAACTTTCTCGTGCTCTTTCCGTACATCAGTGACGGATACTTATTGATACTTTTTCACTTGCAAAAGACCAGCGAGCGCTTGGAGGAGTTGAGCCTCACGTACGCATAAGAAATGTAAACAAAGATACCCGTGTGACTGTGGAGGATGTGTGTGTGTGTGTGTTGCCCAATGCTCATGCGAGGTCAGTGCAAAATAGACGCAGTCATCAGCTGGGAATCTTTTGCTGACCCTCGGCCTCGGTACGTCTCAGCCCATGTGCCTCTATCGAATCCGTGCTTTTCTCCCGTTCCCTCTCTCCTTGCGAGAAATAGACTTCCCGAGAGTTACTCAGAATATTATGCCGTCGGGAGGTCGAAGAGGAGGGGTAGTAGAGGGGAGGTACACCTTCCGCCGCCACGGAAACCCAATCTTCTGACTACGAAGTGGGATGAAAAGCTTGGTGAAGCTTAGCGGGCACAGTTTGGATTCTTGTTGTATGAAAAAGGACATAGAAGAGGGAGCTTCATGGCATGCGGCGGTTCTGAGGTAGGGAAGATCTAGGCCGTAGAAAGAAGTCACAGGCTTGTCTTTTTCATCTGAAGGAACGACAGAAGGGACGATGTTACTTGCCGCTCTGCTTGGAAGACCGGACGTCGAGGCCAAGCTTCCGTTCATTTGCCGACACTTTTGGACGAGTTTGTAGTCGAAGAGAGTGTGCTTAGTGATTCTGCTGATGTTGAGCAGCTCGAGGCGGGGGAGGGGAAAGTTGATGGCGAACATTGGGATGCCTCGGCACAAGACGATTACTGTGATAAACAGCAGCTTAGTACCGGTAGAGCTGATAATATACTTGGATGGTTGCCTTTAGCCGAGGAGGAGGAGGGATGCTTTGGTAAGTCTTTCTGTCTTGAGAAACTTTTGATGACACTTTTCTATTGCTCTTGGAAATATTTGAGATTATCAAAAGTATTTTGGAGTATCCAATGAACAATTTTACTTTGCAATGGCACTATCCTAGAATCTCCAGGGCATTGAGGTATTTTCTAACTTACTACAATATCCTATGTTATTATCTACAAGACGAGAAAAAGAGATTTGCCTACCTGACGCTGCAGGCTTTCCATATCAACATCCTAGTACTTTGAGTTAAGATAAATTAAACGTTCTACACAAGGCTGGAGCTATTGAGGCAAACTTTCGAATCACGTCTCGTTCATTGAACTCAAGTCTTGACGGCTTATTACTTAAGTAGCAAAGTCACTTCGGCAAAATCCTTTTTATTTCTAAAACATGTCACCTTTAAGTATCATATAGCTCAGTAACCCGTGAGCACGTCTCATTGATTGCGCATCGACGTCTGTGAAACTCCAGAATTTGCTAGCGGCGTATAAAACGAAATCACAGCCCTGCTTGCCAATCAACAATCTGTTGAACTCTGGAGACTGCAAAGGTCATGAGGAAGACTTTCGCAACTTTCGCAAAGCAATCAAGGCGTCCTGTCGAGTCAACGATTGGCACGCCTGAAGAGGGTAGTGTTGCACAGTGCTGCTGTGATTTGGGACTTGACCGGTTGGCAATGCTATTACTCAATCACCCACGGCGGGGTCATCTCAGACAGCAACGTATATATACCATTACTTGGACCGTGAAAAATCAACTACCCAACCCAAAGTAAGTAGAGTAGAAACCAAGACGATGCCCATGCAACCTAGTTGCTAGTGGGGAGTCATCCTACTGAACTTCGGCGAGAATATGGAATACGGCGAGTAGCCGGCCCATGCTGCATCCATCTTCATGGTCCACTTAGACGACTGACGATGGTTATGAGTTAAATCTCCAGATCTAACTACATAAACCTCTAGTCATCTATGTGGGCTGACAATCTCTGGCCAATCGAGATCAAGCGCTCATGGCTGTAGGCATTTGTATTCATCTGATTATCCCATTGACTTGGTCTATTCAAGGCAGATTTAATTCAGGCCGCGCTTCCAAGTCCCAATACAACATCGAAATTGGACCAGTCCTTGGTGCCTTTGCGGCATTCTTCAAGATATTGAGAAATACCACCAAGATAGTTGAGCTGTTCCTTCTTCTTGCCGGGAATGTTGCCTCCTACGTACCAGGATGTATCACTCTGGCTAAACAGCAGTGCCTCGTGTATTGCCTGTACCTTTTCCTTCCAGTGCTCTTCAGCCGAACGGCGTGGCTCGATGGATGTGACGTTTTCCGTGCGTAGTTTCACTAGGAAGTCTGTGATGAAATCGACTTGCTGCTCGATGAACACCGGCGCGTTCGTCAAAGCCGTAGGAGCTGTTCCAATTTTCAATTACTTGAGGTTTTCCAGAAAAGGCACTTAAGGCCTCGTGCTTACCTTGCGGCCCGTATATCATGAACATGTTTGGACATCCTCGAGCCATCAAGCCAAGGTACGTCCAAACGCCCTGTCTCCACCTCTCTTTCATATCGATGCCGTCTTTCCCACGGAGCCCCATGCTTGTCAAAGCTCCGGTCATACTGTCGTACCCCGTCGCTAGCACAACGATGTCATGCTCTCTCTTCTTCCCATCTTCAGTCACGATACCACGCGATGTCCATTCGCGGATGCCCGTCTTCTTCACATCCACCACTTCCACATTATCCTGGTCCATGCATTCGTAATAATCCTGCTCCAGGCTGCTTCGTTTTGTTCCAAACGGGAAAGGTTGTTCGTCAGGCACCAAGATGGCTCGTTTTTCCGGATCCTGTAGCCGGCATTTGGTTTTCTTTGACCAAAACTCGTAAATCAAACGATTTGCTTCCGCATCCATCAAGAAGTCCGTATACTGGCCTGTTTGGAAGTTGAAGGCCCCTCTCTTCCATAGCTCCTCCCACCAAGCCTCCCTTTCTTCCGTTGTTGTCTCCTTTGTAACCTGGGTAGGTCCATCGCAAGGTAGCCCGGCACTACTGTCCCTCGCCAACCTAAAGAGTGTCTTGTATATCGCTTTCAAGCTGTCCTGCTCCAGTTCCGAGATTTCGCGTTGACGCATGGGGAGTGCAATGTTGACATTTCGTACGTAGACTGTCAGCTCCACACCAGGCTGTTTGGCAATTTCTTGCACGCATTGAACTCCTGTTGCCCCTGATCCAATAATGGCGACTCGTTTATTCTCAAGATCAATGCCGGAATCAGGCCATGCTGCGGGGTGTACCACTATGCCTTTGAAGGAACTCTTTCCTGCGAATTCGGGCTCATATCGTTTAATTGAACTGCCTGTCGCTGGAATCAAGAATCGTGACGTGATGATTCGTCCTGTATCGGTCTCGACGATCCACTTGGCTGTCGCTATATCGAAGTCGGCCCCAACCACAACAGTATTGTAGGACACGTCCTTAGAAATGTCAAGAACTTTGTCGACGTGTGTGAAGTATCTCTTCAGCTCCTCGTGCCCCGGAAAGCGTTGCGACCATGTCCAGTCTTTCCAGACTTCCCGCAACGAAAGCTGATAGTAGGGCGTCTCCGAGTCAACTCGTGCTCCGGGATAGCTGTTCCGGTGCCACACGCCGCCAAGGGCCGATCCGGCTTCCACAAGGTGTGCCGAAAAGCCCGACTTACGCAGCTGATGTAAGGCGTAGCATCCCCCAAAGCCGCCGCCAATGATCAGAACATCGTAATCCATATTCCTGTCGTAGCTATCATTACAATTACCATTGTATTTGGTTCGGTGATGATTGAGGTGGTGGGTAGACCCCATTATCAACAACTCAGTCTTGAACCTTAAGCCGACCAGAATGAGTCAGTATCGGGACAAAAGAGTCAGGAACATTTGGAAGTCGAGCAATCTGGGAGATCTACCGACTCAGGAGGGAGATCTGTTGATTTATGAGCCGACGAGCGTATGGTCCAAAAGATCAGACGGGGGTTTGGGTTCAAGCAGGAGGTGAGATGAAGCTGATGTGCGGCATTAGGCCCGCCTCGGTCGCCTCGGCATGCTTTGGCGGCAATAAAGTTCTTTTTTCTCGCCATATCTCTTTCTTCACCGTACTCGGAAGCAATTGGTGAGTGGTGCAAGCTTGCCGTTGTTGAATCTTTGACGATGTTTACGTCGTACTTGAAACGATCCCCGCACTTGCAACCTGGCCAGCGTTGCAGTCGATGAAATGGGCTAGACGGGCCTAAATCTCTCGGGAATGTCGATGCTGTTTCCGTGTCCTCCCAGTGGATAATGCGTTGCTCTAGCCAGGATACAAGGTCGGCATGTGTATAGTCCTGTCAGTTGGCGGCTTCAGGGCTCGACCGAGGTCAGCTTCAGGATTGGTCTCTCCGAGAACATAGGCCGCTTGATGTAGCATTAAACCGAAGGTCTAAGACTTATCGATGCAACGACGAAAGACCAATCTCAAATACTTGACCTCGGATTGCATAGCCGTGATATCGTAGAATGCAATACTAGCTGTATCTGCAAGCTTGCTCAATCGTTGCATGGATTCATTCAGATGCATTAGTCAATGTGTGCCCAAACATAGAAAGTTAAAATATCGACTGGAGCAAGGTCACGCTATGTCTTCGACTGTTTCGCCAGGGGGTGGGGAGGTATGTGGACGGCCTCCCGCAGATACTATGTGCATGTCACTGGTAGTGTTCAGCCCAAGAATAAAGCCTCATGTCTAGAGATTCCCCCACTACCAATGAAAGTGGCCGGAGCGAGTGGCAGACTTCAAGTGATGGCAATCAGTCTCATTGGACCGAATGATCGATGCCTAGGGCTTCATGGCGCGGACTGAGTATATCAAAAGCCCATGTCACGTTAGCGGCGCCTAGGAAATGAGAAGAAGAGCGAGATGCATACTAATATTACAAGGAGAATAGAAAGAAAACCAGCCGATGATACGAAAATTATCGCGTGGCTTCCAACTGACCTGCACTGTTTGCCTCGGAGTCTTACGAGTGGCATCAAACGCCTGGAAGAGCCTTCCAGCGGAATCGAGCACGAGCATAGTCTGATTCCTCTTCGTATACTATACAGTACAAGAAAACGTGGAGACAAGCGACGCTTTCACATTTCTCAAACGAATGATACCTAAGTTAGACAAGAAAGAAAAAGGTGCTTCCTTTGATCTAGCGAGCGGCTGCGTGCTGCGGGAGGCCTACCGACCTTAGCCCTAACACAACCAACTGATTCACTGTTTTGAGCCCTTTGTGTGAATGCACAGCCGTACAGGTTAAAATTCTTTCGAATTCTAGATTTCTGAGAACTTCATTTCTTTCCTTATCTTCCGGAAAGCAACGGACTCTCGCAAACCATACCATCTGTGGCTGAACAGGCCGCTTGCATTGATTGATATCGCCGGCGATGGCGTCCTCAGACGACATGATCATGGATTCTCTACAGGAATGGAAGCGGCGTCTGAGCCCCCTAAGAGTTGACATCGTTGGCGACTTTGCTGGGAAAGAGCTGTTCACCATCCATGGGGAATCCTTGGTGGCTCACTGTCTGGCCTCTGCAAATGTCGACTATCTCGGTGGGCATCTCCAGAGACCCCTTCGAATGCGTTCACTACCTACCTGATCTTGGCTAATCGATAACACAGAGGGCTTCCAGCTACTTCATGCGGTACATGCAATCGAGGTCTTCCTGGCCAAACTCAAGGAGCGGGGATGCAACTTCCACGTCCTGTGGTTCGACAGTCACCGAGACCTGGCGACACCACCCGATTCTCCCAAGAATACATCATACAAATACCTCTTGACGCGTGCTGTCATCATTGAGCATCTGAGATGCCCTGAACCACATCCCAAAATGAGTTTCGACGATCGCGGTATCAATTCTCCAATGAGCTTCGTGTTCCCCTCCATCATGAGCCCCGAGTTCGTGGAGTACACCAATCAGCACCGTTTTCACTTCGTTATGATGTCCCAAGGCAGGTCTTCAGATTTCGACACGACTAGTGAGGGAGAATTCTTGAGAATCATGTATTTGTTCGGCCTTCGCGGCTACAGCTTGGCTTTCATTGACGACATCGAGTTTCGAAGCTCTAAGGTAAAGTTTCCGTGCGACCTTTGACAACAGATCACAGCGCGCTCACGTAATCTCTCAACGGCAGGCGTATACTCTCATTGCAACAGCTCCAACCTCAGTGACAGTGATACCAGTCACAGAGCCAACACCAGCGACGAAACCCGATCCCAGTTACCGACGGACTATCGAACGTCTCCAGGCCATAGCCAAGCCCAGTGAGTGGCGAGGGATTCGATCTGACGGTGAAGTTGAGGCCCAGGAAGAAGTAGCAGTCACTTTTTGCGCAGTCTTCTTATCTGATAAGGCCTTCTCGGATGTACACAGTCATAGACTAGTGGCCGCCTTCCTCTCACACATCGCTCTGCTGAAGCACGCAACGCTCTTACAACGACCCGTGGAGACTCCACCCAAACTGGAGAAATTTTCGGGCATCGAGGAGTTCCTTGCGACTTTTGCTGAAGTAGCAGTTCACCTGATCCAGCAGTGGCCCAGGGAAAAAGAAGGACAATACCTCAATTGGAGGGTTTGTGATCTCATTGACGGTCGAATCTACAGTCAAGTCTTGGAGAGACTCGAAACACTTAAACTCCCAAGTGATGCCGGCTCTTGGTATGCAGAAGCTGTACGGCTATTGTCCGGCGTTGACGTATCCTACTGCATGCCGGACTTCGTTCTACATATCAAAAGTGGCGCAGGAATACACCGCATCAGCTACCAGCCCCCAGACATACAGTCGATCCTTGCATTTAGCCATCCCGTGTTGGACAAGTATCTCGAAGACGTCAAGTTGACAAGCCAATGCGTGATGGAAGATGAAACCTCTGAGTCCAAAATCTTTCAAGAGCTCTCCCACTGGCACAATTCGAAGAAGAGCATCGACCCCAAGCATGTACCAAAGCGTCGAGGATTCTACGCGAGCAAGAGAAACCAGAGATACATGGCCGACACGATTGCCTACTCTGCCAGCCTTACTAATTCTACCGGGAAAAGCATCGATCCTGAGACGATTGTCGCCAAGAAGAGGGACCTTTCTGCCGAGTCCAGGAAGCAAGTGGGCACAACCCGAAGACAAGATCATTCGATTAAGAGCGGTACAGAGAATGCACTTGAAACATCGAGGAGATTGAGAGAGGCGAAGAGTCAATCCAGGACCGCAGTAATCATCAAGAACTGGGAAGAGAAATGCCAGGACTTCGACAAGATCACGTCTGTTTTTCAGCGCTACTTGAGAGTCAAAAGGTATTTATCAAGTCTTTCTTCAGAGGACCAGAAGTCTATCGGTGGCGAGGTAATGTTGTACATGTGCAACATCCTCGGCCTCCAACTTATTCGCAGACCGTCGAAAAAGGCTTTCAGCGATTCAGGTATGAGCAAGCGTGGATTTGATTTCTTGGTATCTATTTCTGACCTCGTCGTTCTAGAAACGAGTATGTTGGCAATGATCTGGGCCCAGGTCAGAGAGATGATGTCGTTGCCCCTTTCCGTTGAGACGAAACAACAGGTTCAGTATTTGATGAAGGCTTTGAAGTTCCCGCTGGGGGAACTTCGAAGCGGGCCTTTTGTGCTCGTCAAACATCGTCTTCCGTTCGTCTCAACGTATGAAGTGTCAACCACGCATCTACGAATCCAGACGACTGGTCTCGAGTTCCAGTTGGCTCACTGTGGCCCTTATCTGGAGCGAAGCTTTGACTCCGCTCCTGACCCGCGCGTTCCTTTCAGTCCAGATGCCTGGCAACGAAAAGTCCTTGATGCCATCGATGACGATAAGAGCCTTTTCGTCGTCGCACCAACGTCCGCCGGAAAGACTTTCATCTCGTTCTACGCCATGAAGAAGATTTTGCAGAACAGCGACGATGACGTTCTCGTCTACGTGGCCCCAACCAAAGCACTCGTTAACCAGATTGCCGCGGAAGTTCAGGCTCGGTTCTCCAAGTCGTATCGTCATGAAGGCCGTTCGGTTTGGGCCATCCACACTCGAGACTACCGTGTCAATAACCCCACCAGCTGTCAGGTTTTGGTGACTGTTCCGCACATCCTCCAGATCATGCTCCTAGCGCCCAACAACGCGCAGAATGAGAGATCCTGGGCTCGCAGAGTGAAGAGAATCATTTTTGACGAAGTGCACTGCATTGGCCAGGCCGAAGACGGTATCATTTGGGAGCAACTATTGCTTCTTGCTCCTTGTCCCATGATCGCCCTATCTGCTACTGTGGGCAACCCGCTCGAGTTCAAGGAGTGGCTCGCAGGAACCCAGAAGGCCAAGGGCTTTGACCTCGAAATGATCGTTCACTCGGCCAGATACTCTGACTTGCGAAAGTTCCTGTACCAGCCGCCCACTAGGCTTAAGTTTGAAGGACTAGAGCCAGTGGAGCGTTTGCCAATCCCCGGTTTGGATGCTGAAGCAGGAGAAACCTCACGATTCACGTTTGTGCATCCGATCGGAAGCATTATCAACAAGTGAGTCTTGATGAAAATTTCATGCGGCCTTGCCAGATCCTTAATGCCATCTTTTACTGACTGACTAAACCCAGGAATCGCGAGACTCTTGACGATGCCAGTCTCGAGCCACGCGACTGCCTCCGCCTCTGGCTGTCTATGAAGGAATCCGAGAACGAGTCGTATCTTATCAGTCCTAGCCTCGAGCCCAAAAATGCGTTGCCAGAGTTGGTAAAGAAGTCAGACATTATCAAGTGGGAGGCTGCACTCAAAGCACAGCTCTGGCAATGGCAACAGGATCCCAAGTCACCCTTTCCAGAAGTATACAAAAGGCTCAAGATAAATCGCCCTTCATCAGTGATAGACCTTGAGAGGCCCGAGGTTGTCGCGGACATCTACGGTGACTCTTCGTTCTCACTCCTCGTCGATCTCCGCTCTCGGGGTGCCCTGCCAGCTATCCTTTTCAATTACGACCGGCTTGGATGCGAAAGGGTAATTTTCAAGCTTCTTCAAGTCCTGGAGGATGCTGAACAAGAGCATCGCGATACAAGTACAGAGTGGGCACGGAAGATGGACGCATATCAAAAATGGCGACAAGCCACGGATAGCAAAGCTGCGAAGAAAAGAGCGAAAGCTACTAGAGCAACTGGGGCTGCAAACTCCAAGGAGGAGAGACACGACGCAAAGGATGCTGGTACATCCCTAAATCAAGCTGATCTTGTGAGGGAGGACGCAGGCCGGGAAACCAGCCCATGGGAAAACTTCGATCCCGAGGCGCCGCTTCCGCAATACAATTTTGCGGACACTACCAAACTTACAGCTGAGGAGCTAGAGGCCCGGATTAGGTCTCTGGATGATCTGAGAATTAAGCCTCGCCTGATCGACGCTCTTCGTCGGGGACTCGGTGTCCACCATGCGGGCATGAACCGTCAGTACCGCCAAGTGTAAGTTGAGGCTAGCCCTACATCCGAACAGTCACTGATTTCGAGGGGCAAAGGGTGGAAATGTTGTTCCGCAAGGGCTACTTGACCGTCATTGTTGCGACCGGTACTCTCGCTCTCGGGTTGAACATGCCTTGCAAAACTGTTGTCTTTATAGGTGACTCGGCATTCCTCACGGCTCTCAACTACCGTCAAGCATCAGGACGTGCTGGACGTCGTGGATTCGACCTCCTTGGTAACGTCGTCTTCCATGGCATCCCTCATCATCGTGCCATGGAGATCATCTCGTCGCGGTTACCCGATCTGAGAGGCCAATTCCCAATCTCCGTCACTTTGGTTCTTCGGCTCTTCACCCTGCTGCACAGCACGAACAACTCCCAGTATGCCATTGATGCAGTGGAGTCCTTGTTGACTCAAACACGTCTGTTCCTCGGTGGACCTGCCTCGCAGATGACCGTCAAGCACCACTTGCGCTTTTCCATCGAGTACCTCAGACGACAGCACCTTCTCTCTCGAAAAGGAGCACCTCTCAACTTCTCGGGTCTAGTGGGTCACTTGTACTTTACCGAGAATGCTGTGTTTGCTCTGCACTCCCTGCTCAAGGAAGGCTACTTGCACAAGCTCTGTGAGGACTTCAGCAATCCACGGAAACAGGGAGAGATCATTCTCACTTTATTGACAGTATTGTGTCACCTCTTCTGTCGCATTCCTTGCAGCAAGTACAACAATCGGGTGTGGCTTGAAAACGTCGTACATCGATCGCCTTCTGTTGTCCTTCTACCCAGGCTCCCAGGAGAGGCAGAAACCGTCCTCCGAGGTCACAACGAAGAGACTCTAAAAATTTTCAAGACCTACGTTCGCAGCTTCATTGCACAGAATCTCCAGGACTCTCCGGATAACCAGCTTCCTTTCACCAAGCGCCGGGTGGGCGCCGTCGGAGAGGCCTCAGCTGATATCTCAACAGCGCAGATTCCAACGCTCCCTTTTCCAGTTCTTCGATCCCCTTTCGCCGCGCTGTCGGGTTTCACAGACGACTTCGCCACAATCCACGAGCTATGCGACACAGTCCGCGCTGGTGTGTTTCTTGACGAGTCTGCCGTCCCGTACATCCCCATTTACCCTGAAGAGACAAACGGCGTGCCCTGGAACGCATACATCTATGACTTTTACAAGCACGGTGATCTCAATACTCTTGTTCAGGACAACGGAATCAAGGGCGGCGATGTTTGGTTTCATCTGAAAGACTTCTCACTGATCTTGGCCACCATCGTAACAAGCCTGGAGAACATCATGGGTCGAGTCGATGCTGATGACTCGGATATGATCAATGTTCAAGATGTTGCCGATACCATTGAAGAAGAAAGATTCGGCGAGGAATTTGATGCACAATACTCGGAGAACCATGTGGCCTTGTCTGTTACTGCGAAAGCAAAGACAAAGTCCCACTCTGGCAAATCCAAAGAAGCAGTGGCTGAATCATGGGAAGATGTGTCGGATGGCTCCTCCTCCGATACCGCGCACGCGAGTAGCAGCGCAAGCAGAACCGGCCAGGCAACCGAGTCAGAAGGAAAGTCTTTCGGGTCAGCTCGGGAAAAGGGAGGCGGTGATAGTCTTGTGAAGGTTCACATGGCTTTCAAACTCCTGCAGCAGGTTTTCGAGGACAAGTTCAGGAAGGTGTGGTCATGAGTAAGTAGGTAGTTTGGTTCTCTCAATGGTACATGTTGATTAACTACAGCAACCGGAAAAGCAAAAGTATCGAAAGCTTCGTCTGGTCCGACACTACCCGGTGATATACTAAAAGGTCTAGACCAAATATCGCCAAGTCTTATTCAAACTCAGATTGGCGTCACTTTCTCCGAAACTGTGTTCTTTTGATCCTCGTTCTCATCGGATCTCTCTCCATCAGGTGGCGTCTGCGTGTCCCGAGCCGCGGCGGCTCGCTCGAAGTCTTCCACCGTCATTGAGCCATATTTTGCAAGTGATTGCTTATCGATCTGTGTGATATCGTCATTAGCTACTTCGTACCTCCGGAATTTAAGTGATTCTTTCAATCATGATGAGCTTACCCTGATGACGAGTCCCATGAAGCAGAGAACGATGACGCTGCACACAATCATAACAATCGCACCCTTCTTCCAATACGGGGCTTCATCGGCCGCATAGAAAACGATGCCCCAGAAGGTGTAAAGCGTGGTGGCGCCAATGTTCATAGCGTACACCGTCACGCTGCGCACCGCCTCGTCGCCACTCCGTTGGAGAATGATGCTGGCCCAGCCAAAGATCAACGGATTGACCATGTACGACGAACCCGATGCGTAGAATGCGAACATGGTACCGGCGTAAGGCAGATTCGGAACGAGGAGCATCGCGGCGCAGACGATCTGGATGAGACAAACCAGCACGACCATGGGTACTCGGGTTCCGGTCGCATCCATGTGCCATGCCGCCATGATATTAGTAACGATGCCGACTGCTTGCACACCCAAGGGATAGGTGTTGATTTGGCTCTGAGTGAAGGATTCGGCGTGGTACTTGAGCCAAAGGATGAAGTTACCCTGGACAACCCAGGCCTCGAGTGTAGCGCAAATCGGAGACCACAGCACCAAAACCCAGCTGTTACGTGGTTAGCTTTTCCAACTCATATCGAAATAAGAGCGATATATCCGACTTACAAGGTAGGCATGAGTACTAGACGCTTCAATAGAGAGAACGGGTTGACTCCGTGCGACCCTTTGATGACTGGAGGCAAACGTCCAACGGCAATCTTTTTCTCGGAGTCACTGAGATACCGAGCGCTGGTGTTTTCAGGGATATCCGGGAAGTAGAAGAAGCCGAAGATCGCGATGGGAAGCGTAATGATGCCATCTGAAGTCTGTCAGCAAGTTCCTCCAATCGCAGGCCTCGTCGACTTTCTCGTACCAATGATGAAGACCCACTGCCAACCACCAAGACCGGCAAGGCCGCCCAATCCCTTGTAAATGGCAGCCATCATGACGCCGGCAAACATGGTGCCTACCTGACCTGATGCGGTGAAGATGGCCGTGCGCTTCGAGATTTCTTCAGGCTTGTACCAGGAGCCCATGATGTAGATGGCTCCCGAGTAGGTGCTAGCCTCCGCCAAGCCGAGGAAGAAGCGGATAACGCAGAGCTGAGCGGTATTCTTGACGCCTGCACTAGCCATCTGGGTATTGTCAGCGAGCCGCAGGGGGATAATTTGACGTTGATGAGACGTACAGTCAGGAACGCCCAGAGACAGCACATCGAAGGCAGCCAGATTCGCGGCCGGACGATTTGGAGACCGATGATGATGCCATGAGGAATCTGGCCCACCACCATACTTTGATATGGGGTTAGCTCATGTTTGTGTAAACGCTACTCATCGGCTCAGATCTTACCCAGCAGTGGTTACCGAAAGGACTGTGTTATAGTCATGACCCTTCATGTGCAAGGCCTCGCGGAGGCCAGCAACCTAGAGTGAGCCTGTCAGTTCTACTCAATGGTCTACTCATTCTCAGTGTCGAAACTCACATAAGCATTGGCAAAAGCAGCACGGTCTTTTGGTTCCGTCCATTGTCAGTGTCACGGTCCCTTCTTCAAAGTCGATATGAGGCAACCATCACCCACCAAGGTAGTTGAAGAAGTAGCTAAGGCAGCAGTATGTCAAGATAAAGAAGTCTGGGGCGTATTAGTCAGATTCATCGTCTTCTAATGCAGAGATAATGGGAGTGCCTACCTATTTTCTGCACAAGACGTCTTTCTTCTTTTGAAGTTGCCTCATTGCCAAGGAAGAAGGCTTCGTGAAGCCAAGGAAGTTAGCTCAAGGCGCATGTATAGTCACGACGGCGGTCGAGGCTCGGAAACATACCCTTGACCTTCTTGCCGGTTGAACGGTTCTCAGTGGCCATGTTTTCTGTCAATCGCTTGCCGCATAAGATTCTTTCCGATGCTACCTTATCCGAGATGCAACATGAACAAGTGCTCTTTCTCGAGTCCCGAGTGAAATAAGCGATCTGATAAAGAATTTCGAATGTTCTATCTTGACTAGCGTGTCATTCCTCCGTAGACTCGAAATTTTCTGCTGCCCAGATCTAGGGCGTGCGCGACAAGGATACGTCTATTCGGAGCACACAACGTTGGCGATGAAATGTCAATCGCGTTCCTTACAGGTCATAAGCGAAAGTAAACGCGCAGAACTTTCAGAGATGTCTAAAGAACGAACAGAAACTTGCTCACCAGAGAACCTTGATGGCCTCATTACTACCAGTTTTCCTACTAGTCATTTTGATATGGTGGCCGGCGGCCCCGTCTCGCCCATCTACTTTTGTGGCTCCATTGCACAAGCGCACTCCACTGACTGGCATGGACATGGCATCTTGTCAAATGAAATTGTTCGGATTTGAGCGAAGACGGGCGGGGAAGCGCTTGGCGGCTGATGGATCTGATAAAAAACACCCACCCGCTTGGGAGGCGGCTTTCCTGCGTCAGTTGCCGAAGGCCTGACCGTGGCGACCTTCGGCGGCGTACATTATCGCTCGTTGCCTCCTCTCTGACTGCAACCGGTAAACCATTGGCATGACGTATCTTAAAGCCTGTTGCTGGATCTGAAGTCGAATGCCTTTCTTTCTTTCAGATTGGATTCTTCAAGTTCCCGTGTTGCTTGGTCTTGTTTACCTAATCAATGTACTCCTGAGTCGGAGCTCTATTTTCACAGAATCGTTGGTGACGCCAAGGCGAGTATTAGTCCGAGTTGATTTAGACTAAACTCTGATCGCCCACGAACCATATTTACAGCATCAAGGTTTTAAACATGCAGATCAAATGAATGGATATCAACTCGAAACCGGGGCCGCCTTGAAATGGATCAGCTCACTAATAGTGGATGCATCGCGACTTTAATCGAAGTTTCGAATTTCTGCGGACTCACCTATTGGTTCAGCAAGAACGGCTACTGACACGTTCCAACAATAGCCGCAATTGCTGAGCCTGTCGAACCCTACCGATTCAGAAGTCTGTTGGTTGTTTACTTTTTACCAGCTGCTTCCATGGCCTCGCGCTTCTTCTTCTCGTAGATGGAGTTGACCTTGCCCTCCAGAGCCTCGCTGCAGAAAGCCTCAAAAGAATTTCCCGTCAGGTCGGGATACAGATCCTTGGCGATTTGATATCCTAGGTATCGCGCGTACTCCGGCGTGTTGTCTCCTCGGAGGCCCCACGATTTCCGATATTGTAAAACCGATAGCCTATGAGGGTTGGCCTTGTCATCCTTCGCCTTGACCATCGCAGCCTCAATCTCATCAGCCGACATCTGTGTTTCGATGTCAGTTTAATCGCTCAAAGCTAAGCCTTCACCGTCTATTTATCGCTTCATGTGTGCCTTTTTGTCCCCGCGCCTTGGGAAGGTGGTCTAGAACTTACGTATTTTCTCTCAACCTTTTCTCCACTCAATCTCTCAATCAGATCGTATACTTCATTCTGGGACATGAGTTCGGTGAAGGCGAAGACTCTGTAATTCAGGGTCCGTGGGTCCGCAATGATGCGGGCGACGTATTTGCCAACGTCGCGGAGGTCAGTCATACCAGAGAGAACGCTTCCATCTCCCGCGATCCAGTTGTCGAATGGGCTCGCGACAGCGTCAATGCGTCCCGAGGCCAGACGGGGCAAGCTGATCTGGTACCACCATCCAACATCAATGACCGTGTACGGGAGGTAAATAGTTTGGATATGATTCAAGACATCCTCTTTCTAGGACGCATTCAGTTGTCAGCTCAACGGCCAATTTGACATCTTCTGGGGGTCTAGGGAGTCTTCCTCACCTGATCTCGGAACCACAACATGCCCCTGCCGGGCATCACCGTCCCAAAGAAGCAGGGGACGAATCGCTTTACCCCCGCTTTCTTAGCCGCATTGGCGAGGGGGATTTGGTCGAGCAGCTTGTCTGCCACAATAGCTGAGACGACCACCTCATGACCGGTAAGCTGATTCGCGATTTCATCTTCGGGTCCGCTCAGGTCTACTGAGGCAATCTTGACGCCCCTCCTCTCTAAAGCTTTGACCTCTGGCTTCTCCAGCGAGCTCGGTCGGATAAGCGCAGTTATCTCCTATCAGACGACTTATCAGTATCTTTACCCAGGTATAAAGACTTTCATGATAGACAGGTCCCTACGTATTTCGTCTCAGGCGAGGAGAGTAGGCCATTCATAATGGAAGTTCCGGTCTCGCCGGTTCCACCGAGCACTGCGACCTTCATGTTTTATGTTGTTCTTTGGTTTTCAAGAACCTAGAGTGTTTTGTTGCTAGGAGCGAAAGCCAATGATCCAGTCCTACACTTTTGTTGTTGATGAGAAGGACTTGAGTTTAACTTATGCTCCAGAATCTCATGGAGCTAAGTATGGATTCCTCTCTACCCATAGAATCGCCTACTATTGGCTCTCATATCGCCATGAGGATGATATCATCGTAACGCTATTTCTCCATGTCGGTGTCTCGAACAGCCAAAAGTCCGCAAAAAGCGGGGAAAAGCTGCGGACTGGCCCGGTTTGACGCTGCGGAGTTTTATCGGGTTGGGGCTGAATGCAACGCGGACGCAACTTCCCGTGCCTAGGGCCGGGGGCCCGCGCCAGCCCACTCGGTTTCGGTTCCGGAAGTGACTGGAGGACCGGGGGCGGCGGCCCCAAGCCTCGACCGAGGTGACCCTACTGGCGGTTGTGGCTTATAAATCAGTATCAACCCCGCGTCTTGTTGCTGTTCCCTCGTATAAGAATACGAATGATACGAGTTATCTCGAAATCTGTCATCAATAACATTGTGTTGGCTCTTCGATGAAACTGTGCTAGAGTGAGTCATTGTGATGCCGTACCAATATTTAGGACCTAGTAAGGTAATTCAAGTACACCGTTCTGATTAACAGTCCACAATTGACCGTAAGCTTGTTCTATCCTAGTTAGCGCAAGCACAATTACTACTTCATCGTGACGAAGCATGAAAGGCATATCACATCTCAACTTCATGTTTTGGCTCGAGTGATTAAGGGACATGGAAGCAACAAGATCAACAAACTGGACGAGACAATATCTCATCAAGTGGTTCAAGTCAGTTGTAACAACCTTTTTATGAGATCACAACTTCATCCTGTTGTTTCTTTGCCGAACATATTAATGGTCATAAACCTTAGTCAATACGATATTCTATGTATCATGTTCGAGTGGGCAAGTGTCTAACATACATGCCTCTTATCTAAATATAAGCGATGCCATTACATTGATCAACTTCTCCGAAAAACAATCTCGAACTCGTATTGATAGTAAACACTTGAAGCGGCATAGACTTCGCTATCGACTGAAATTACCAACAAACAATCGAGTGGCTAGACTAGAAATCCATTGCCGTACGTATGCTAAATTCATTCCCAGTGCCACGCAGTACACTTCAACGCCTGCTCAGTTACTCTTTTCTCTCGACTGCATCATTCCATGATCTCCCTCAACTTTTACTCTTCAAATATCACTCTCGTTTGATGCCTTTAATGCAAATGTTGACTGAACCAGCTCACCGCGGCCGACTTTGCTAGAGCCATCGCCTTCCTCTCTCCAGGCTTTCCGGGATCACCTCTAGTCAAGCAAGCATGCTCAACACCAGGGTAGTGATGATACTCAAACGACACGCCCTTCTTCAACATAGTCTCGAAATAATGGGACTTGAGTTCGGGGGTGAACTGGGTATCAAATTCGGGAGCCAACAGCTGCACCGGAACCCCAACACCATCAATATCCTCCTTGGTCAGCAAGCTGGGGTGGCCAGTCGCGATGCAGTCGACCAACGGAGGATCATGCTCTTTTGCTCCTAAGCGGAATACTGCCCACCCTCCGTAACAAAACCCAATAGCCCCGACTTTCATGTGCTTCTTGCGAACCTCCTTGACAAAGTTGGTGATTTCGGGTTCTCGAATTTCTCGTGAATTGTCTCTTCCAAAACTCGAGAGGTCAATCTCGTGCCATCGATTCTGAAGCACGGGCTCGAAGGGTACAACCCAACCGCCGAAGAAGTCTGGTAGATAGACCGTGACATTGGCTTCGCGAGCATAATGATCTGCCAGGAGGCGTGCGTTGGGGAAGGTCCAGCCTAGAAGGTCGTGAACGATAACAACTGCAGCGAGTGGATTGTCGCCGACGATGTAGACGTCATTGTTGGCGAGCTTCTCAGTTCGGCCTGTTGGAGTGCCGTCCCATTCAAAGGCTTTCAAGCAACACGATGGGATGGCCATTTTCGGGTTCTTTGGGACGTGGATAGAGCACTGCCCTTTGTGTCTTTAGTATAATAGATAATAGTAGTTGCGATCTTGAGAGTGATAGTCACGGGTTGAGTAAGACGATTCTGTGAGGGGGTTCGTATTAATAGTGCTGAGGTTGCAGCCTTCGGATTTACTACTACCTAAACACCGGTGCCATGACAGTGCGGAGAAAGTAAGTCGGTCTGGAAAGAGTCCGGACGCCGATCTTCCAATGAGATATACGTTACACCAAACCAGGGACGAGGTAATTGATGGTCGGGATACCAACATCTCAAGTTGAAGTGAAATAGTCACAACGAGGTTGTTGATGTACCAATGAAAGCTCTGGGCGTATGAGTACGAATGCGACTCAGGCTAGGGACTTCGGTTTAGCGGCCTGAAGGGGGCGGAAATTCGATTTGGCAACTAATGTTGCTGCGACTACTAAACCAAAGGTACTTAGGTTAACTAAGTACGTACAGCTGATTCCCAAGCAGAAGAGAGATGTGGGTTCAGAAAAGTCGATATAGACATCCTCGCCATCTCCACACTTTGAAAAATATACAGCCTCTCGCGAAGAGCTGCAGCTTCGGAGTACATCATTGACCCTGATTCAATTAAACTTAGATCTAATCATGACCCCGCTGATTCCATGTCCGATCGAACACGGTGAGTGAGCGTTGAGCTAGTTGCAGGTTAGTTGATTGATGTAGTCACAGGGGTGCTCGACATACCTGTAGGTACGACGTCAAGCGCCTTGATGGAGACATTGTCCGGTTGCTCCAGCATGTAGACCGCCGCCTGCGCAACATCTTCAGGTACAAGCGGACTGGCCGACGTTAGTTTATTCACTCATAGCAAACAAGAAACAGAATAGCGGCAAGAAC